GCAAAGAAACAGAACTGACGCCCTATAAAATTTAGCGGCTTCAATTCTGTCCGTCTCTTAATAAATAAATTCATTTGGATAAAATATGATTAAAAATATATTTGTTAATAAATTGAGAAACTTAGCGATTTTTAAAATAAAAAATATCAGTAAAGAAGTTTTTTTAAAATTTTCTGTCTTAGACAACACTTATTAATTTGATGTTTAATTAAGAAAAAAAAAGACTATTACAAGAATTTCTCTGGAATAAAAATGCAGAGTAGGTTGCTGTTGTAATTGCTGTTCTACATTTTTTTCTGTCGTTTTCATGAAATTCTCCAGGGTTTCAATAAGAAATTATTTCATAAATTATCAAGAGAAGTTGTTGACATCTGGTCATGAATCTCACATCAACAACGTCTATCATATTTTGTTTATTTGACGGAGTGGAGTACAAAGTTCTGTTCTGTATATGTCAACACTTTTAAGAGAGCCTTGTTTGAAATATTTATATTTTTTATTTTCTCATCCAATCAATAGATTTATTTTGGAGTGATCCCGATCCTCGTGGTCGTAAAGGCTGTCGAAAAAATGAAGATCGTAAAATGGCTTGTTTTTTTGGTTCGGATATAACTCATCAATTTCTTAAACAATATAATCTATCGATGATAATACGTTCTCATCAAGTGAAACAAGATGGCTATGAATATAATCATGATGGTAAAGTTTTAACTGTTTTCAGTGCATCAAATTATTGTGGTGGTTCGAATTGGGGCGCTGTTGTTCGATGGTATGTTCTATCGGCATAGCGATGAGAATAAATATTGATTTTTATACCATTTGTTTTTTCTTCAGGGATTATGATGAAGAAGAACCATGGATTATTTCTTTTAAGACTCAAGCTATTGAAATGGAAAAATTAAGTTTTAGTAAACAGTAAGATATTTGATGAAAAAAAAATCATTTAGAATTTCATTTGGTTCTTTTTTTGTTCTTGTAAAGACTGACTCTGTTCGAAGATCCAGTTTATCGTGCTTTGATTGAAAAGATTATGACAAATAAAACTGCACTTCTAAAACGATTTGAAAAAGCAGATAAAAATAAAAATGGTAATAATTTTCTTTTTGTACGAAGCTTTTATTCTTTTAAGAATATAAAATAGATCATTTGCCTTTAACCACGTGGGCTGATATTTTGTCTGATATTCTTCAAGTGGATTTACCATGGCTTATTCTACGTTCAAAATTAGTGCAAGAAGATTCTAAAGGAATTTTATATAAGACAATGTTCAATGATTATATTTTAGATAATTCCAAATTTCAAATGGTATTTTATTCTTTTCTTTAATCTACTTTTGTTCGCTTATTTTTCTCATTTCTAGTCAAATGCTGGAATTATGGAAGATTTATATATGCGAAAAGATATGCTTTTAGCCTTATTTAATTTAATTGATTATAACCATTCAGGTTTGTTTTAAACGAAATATTAATTTTTTTCCATTGATAAAAATTTCTCTTTTTTGTTTTAGGTTTTATAAGTCGTATTGAATTTGCTGATATTATTAAACTTATACTTTATGGTGAAAATGGTATTGGTGATGTTAACGATGCATATATTGCAGAGTTGACATCTGCTATGGATTTTGACAAAAATGGAAAAATTGATTTTAATGAATTTTTAGGTAGATTATTAATGGTTAAAACCATTTCCTCTGAAATGATTGGCACCTGATTTAATGAAAAGAGTGCATAATTGAATTTCTATCAGAGATAATTGCTTTACAGTTTATGACAGTAGTATTACACCACATAGTGTCTCCTCTATGTGCGGATGTTCTCTTCGTTGCTATATGCTTAGCCGTTCATAGTTATTAGAGTAAAGAAAAAATCACTGCGAATAGTATTACACGAAGAGACAAGTTCATCAAGCGTTTACTTGAGAATTTTTTCGGATGAGATTCTATATTAATTTGAGCTATTCAATTTAATGTAAATGATAATAACGATTCCAAATCTCTGAATCTTACTGTGAATAATTTCAATCTATAATACTGAAAAGCGCTCAATAAATGGATTCGACGAGTGCAATGAAGTGTGAAAATTATGACTATACGTTCGAGCATCTAAGAACTTGATGAACTTGTTCTTCTTTTTGTGTACTCAAAAAAAGTGAGTACACTCTAGATTCGGTCAGTGTGTCCGCCCTGCGTTAACACGATAACCTTTGAAAGCCTCATCCAATTGTCATGAAATTTTGTACACATAATGATCTTATTAATATCTCAGTCGAGTTCGAAGATGAGAACGATCCGTCAAGAAATGGCTGAGTTACCGAAAAAATTGTTAGTATTGACCAGACCATCCCTGAGGAAGGCGGTACAGGGATTTTTTCAAAAAAAAATTTTTCTTTCTTAGAATTACTCACAACATATAAAATTGACTCCGTTTTTGCAGTACGCATAACAATCGGACGCGAATCCGATGTTTCCTCATTTCTTTATTTTATTCTAGTCTTATCACTTGCGGCGTATCCTAATATGTATGGACGGCTAGGCATTAGAACGGGAGGGGGGGGGTGGAGAAGATGCACATCAAAGACAATATATGATTTAATAGTATCGTCACAGATCAAGACAACAAGCTCTTATCGAAATATAATTAGTATTATAATCTTAGTTGAAGAATGATACCATAGAACGTGTCTGTTCATACTATCAGATAAGGTACCAATAGAATTCGGTTAATCTTTTGATGAAGAATTAATGTAATTCAATATGCCTTAAGTAATTCGCAATAGCATTGGCCTATAATTTTTACTGGAAATTCTATCAAATTAATAACTTTAGGGCGAGCTATGCAGAGCTATATTTCTAAAGATGAATATATTAAAACCTAATGTGATACTTTTTGATGCAAGATAATTGTATTTCTTCAGCTACTTCGTTTAGTTAGCAATCAATTATGAACTGCCTTAAGACATTGTACTACGTCTGTTGGTTATATTAATTATTTACCTATCAGCAGTTGAAATATTATTAGAAATAATTATTTATTTTTTCTAATTTCTAATTTTAGAAAGTTTCCGAATTGTAAATGTGAAAAAAAATCCGACCGCAACAAAAAAGGCTGCAGTTAAAACTAATAGTTCTGGATTAAATGGAACCACAACAAACGAAGTACGTGTGTAACACATATATAACATGACCAATTATTTACAAGAAAAGAAACAATTTATATTCCTGATATCGATGAAATGTGGACACATGACTTCGAATATTTTTGTCTGCACATATATTTTATTGTTGTCGTCTTTGTGAATGTTTCACATATGCATAAAACGAATGTTTTATTTTTGTTCCTTATATTTTTATGGATTAAAATAATAAAAGTAGAAATGATATGAACGTCTTTTGCAATAAGCATGAATTAATCGATTTTTGATATGTTCGATTTTGAATCTGAAAGCAGATTTCGTAGGAAAAAAACTTTGACACGGTGCCTATACTCAATTATAATATTTGTTAATTATTCGTTATAGTAATTGAAAATAACTTCACCTACTTTATGAGACAAATTCCAAAGTCTATTCTTGTAACCGAAAAACAAGAAGATAAGAAATGGTTCATTTCTCTTGTTTAGTCAAGTAGAAATTGATTAGGATTGAGGGCTTACTAAAAATTAGCATATTGTTATTATCTGAGATAGAATTTATTATTCAATGGAATAATGAGTTCTTTTTGCCGTACAAGAAATTTGCAACATTTTGCATATGTACGCATTTAATCATCTAGTTTTAGAAACAAAAAATAGTTTGTCGTACCATTATATAGTTATCGTTGAAAAAATGGAGTTCATTAATTGTCTTTTCTTGAGATTCTTCCGCGTCTGAAAGAGTTTGCCATCATAGACTCTTCATCATTTGAAGATATTTATTTAAAACATAAGTAGAGAATCTTCTGACCCATGAAATATCGAACCCAGGAGAATAGAAACAACGACTGATTCTAGTGCATTTTCTAACATTTGTTTTGCATCAGATTCATATGAATTATAGGGAACAAACTTCGACTAGCCATTCGTAATAATCCATCATTAAAAGCCGTCGATCAAGATCGTCAACTAGCCAGAAATAATTGTTCTGAAGTGGAAACAGTTTCCTGTTTTACTACACATTTGATCAATAAGTGTTTATTTGGATTTTTTTCAGTAATTTTAAAGGCAATAATAACTATATATATTTTTTAATAAATAATCTTTATCAAAAGTAGAATATAAAATTTTTCTGGCAGTAAAAAAGTTATTATATTTCCTATATTGAAATGAATTTTTCAAACCAAGAAAAACTAAAAATAAAGTTTTTATACGATTTCAATATATGTTTGTTCATTATGAAGATTTTCTCTAAGAATAGTATAGAACGAGTAGGAAGCTACTGATCCAAATTATTCTGGGCAGGAACTCCATCACCTTCAAGATCTGAGTGGAGTAGATGTTTTTTTTTTTTTATTACCGGAGCCTTCTTCTAGTTTTTGTTGTTTGAAATATAGGAGATAAACGTACCAGTCCTTTCGTCACAGCACCCACACTAGACACAACACCCTGTGGGAGTCTTTAAATTTGCCCGTCGTTGATGATATTCACATTCTATCCACTGAAACGGCTGAGAAGCAATGAATGAATTGAAAAACAAAAGTTTTTTTTCTTTACATCTACAGTATTCATTTTATGCTTCTGGTTACATTAGCATATTTTGTGTCTTAAACAGTACATCTATGCTGCATGAATTATCTCATTGATGAGTAAGATTTCGAAAGAATGACGTAGTGTTGGATTTGCTTTGTTTATTTTCAAGTAGTTCATACAATGGCACGTATAAAATAGATGAAACCAATTCGAATTTCACGCTCGACAAATCATTTTGGAATGGCACAAATGAGATCAAACGTTCTTTTCCCATCAGGATTTCCATATTTTTCCAATTATCTTTTGATTCTGCATTAATTAATGTTCTATATGCTTCCGCTATTTTTTTAAAAACTCTTCCGGATCACCACCACGATCTGGATGATTTATTTTACTTAACTCATGACAGACTCGTTTTATTTCACTAATAGGCGCTTCTTTATCAACCGCTAATATTGCAAATGGATCATAGTCTTCATTTTCAGTTGTAATCAGTGGTGCATGATATGCCAGTGATACAAATTTGATCTCTTCTCTTCTAGGCCGCAAATAACAAGGCAACGACAGAAGAATAAATGCGAAACGAGGAAGAATAAAATAATACAGCTTTTCTCCGCCTTCGTCGTAGTCAAACTTCATTTCTCTTGCGGCTCTTTCAAGTATTGATGAAAATGGAAGAAAGAAAGTTGCTTGTTATATTTGGGACGGATGTACCAATTCCTAAGAAAAAGTTTTGTTTTTAGAAAGTCATCTTTCTGATTTCCACCGAGAACTGTATCATACCATGAGCGAGTGATCCGTAGAGAATTCGAGCCCATGAATATTCGAAATAGTTTGATACCACAATTTTTTTAAACGCACATGGAATCTCAAGAATCGAATAATTTCAATTCGAAATATCTTATGGTCATTAAATACAGTCAATGTATTCAATCATCATTTGATCGCCACCTCAGCAGCATCATTTTCTATCCCAAGAAGTCAACATGGCTCTAATAATATCCATGAAAGCCAATGCCTTCGAATCGCCTATTTTAGCCTTTGAGTAAAAGCCAAACAAATTAATTTACTTTTTCTTTTCTATTATGAAAAAGAATCTTTTTATTAAGATCAAAAGCACAGTCACTCACAATCAAACTGTGTTCTATGTTTAAAACAAAACGAACATTTCTTTTTTACAGTTGTCTAACTAATAACAGAGTATTGTTTTGATCCTCATATTTGATGCATAATAAATAAAACACATGTTAACAGTATACAACAAGAAAAACAAAAACAAGAAAATCTAAAATGTTCTACTTTTAGTTGATGATAAGTAAGACTGTTATAAACATCAGACGAGAGAAAACTCGACAAAACAAACAAATAACATACACGCCCACAATAACAACAACAACAACGACAACAACAACAACTAGAATTTCTTTCAAAGTGCTAGAAACATGAAGTAAACAAAAAACAATGAACTATCATATGTGATTTGGATAGAGCAATTTACGAAGACTATTATGAATCAATTGTTCTACTGTTTGTTGATTAATAACGACATTTAATGTTGTTGTTGTTGTTGTTGTTGTTGCCGATGGTGTTGTTGGAATTGTTAATGAAAGAGGCGATGATGATAATGATGCTGATGACAAGGCTATTTGTTGTTGTTGTTGGCAATAATAACAATGTTCATGTGCTTCTATTGGTGACATTTCAGTTGGTCTAAAAATAGTTTCGTTATCGAAATAGTTGAAAACATTTATTTTTTTTTGTGCTGAATTTTTACTTGGCCTTCGGTGAATGGTTTATAAAACGAGATGTTGTTAATTTTGATTGATTTTTTTTAACATGTTTCAGTCTTTGACGTCGATTAGCGAACCAAGAACGACATTGTTGCGCTGTTATATTACCTTCGGTTATAAAACGTTTCTTGTCTGGTGAACGTGGATAAGGATCATCCAAATTGGTATTATACCTAAATTGTAAAACAAACCGAAAGGGGTTGAGATAATACATAATTAGATTTTATTTGCGAACCATTCTTGCATTAGTTTAACAGCATGATCAGGTAGTTTATGATAGTATTTCGAACGTGATGAAGAAACACGCGGTACAAGCGGCGCCGGTAAATAATTCGTTGGCTTTTCATTAATAATAGCAGCTGATAAATGTGCACGAGACTTAAACAAATATTTATCATTTTTGCGTAAAACAAGATTTATTCGTTTCACTTACAGGTAATTCAACATAGTGTCTATTGTTCATTATTTGATCGGAAATATCTATATTACTATATAATGGCTCTATGATACCTTGTTGTCCTTGTTCTAGATGTTGTGAATGTGCCGCCTGTTCTTGATGTTGTTGATTTAAACCATTAAAAAAGTGTTCAATTTCAAAATAAAGTTCATCATCATGGCTTGTTTTTATGATTGTTGATTTATTGTTTGGCGCAACAGCATCGTCTTGTGGTGATAAATATAATGGTGTAAATGGACTGCTTGTTGTTGGTAATGGTGATGTTGATTGAAATGCGGTCCAATCTAAATCACTCTGTGTACTATTTGTATCGTTTGTTAAAGTTGAATCAGTATCAAAATCAAAAATAAACGAATCCATTACTAAGAATTAAAGATAAAACGTTTCAAATGAATAAATAATACAAGAGAAGAAACGAGAAATTTCACTTACACACACACGACGTGCCTTCTATTTATCACTGCTCGTTTACGAACATTCTAGTGGTGGATATTTTGTTTCTTTTGTGTTCACATGTGATGCACATATGGAGGAACTTCTTGTACCAATAACATTTTTTTATCTTGTCAAATATAGGTTAGGAAGAGGCTGGTGAAACATATGCCTCTATTCTGTTGATTTCCATGCATTCTTTCTTTATCCAGGCATTTATTTTTACGCATTAAGTTAAAGAAACAAAGACCAACGAATGAGAGGGAGAGAGAGAATGACGCATTTCGTTTCGATAGCTAACGATCTGCACTCATTAGAAAGATGATTTAAAGGAACGAGTCTTTTTAAACTTTGATACTATCAATCTCTAGTTTTTATTTATTTACTCGATCGGGACGATACAAATATATAGTTGTATATACAAGTTATTGAGTTTGAGATGACATCGACTCTTCTATTTTAAAAATACATCCATCTCATATCTCTGCCAAATACGATCGTAAAAGAGTCAAGCGAAGTGATTTCATGACGTTTTCTATTTATGTTAAAATTTTTTGAACAAGGTTTCCTTGAAGACAATTAGTATTCAACTCATTTGATTATGCTATTAATTATATGATCAATATTGAATAGTTAAACTCGTCAAATTTTTCATCTTCTATTTAAAAGCTAAATGTGAATAAAACAAAATAAGATCGAATCGTGCTTTCGATTTTTATTTATTTGAAGGGATTGAGTATGAAACACGAAATTTTGATTACATATAAAAGTGTAAGCAATGGATGTTTTCGATTGACGCGAACTCTAGAAAAACAATGCATTTATTGGATTAGGCACACCTGGTGAAAACCTACAATGTAACTGCGACATTTTTCTATTTTGTATTACACTTGAAATGCAATATCGATACCCGATTGATTCCATTCTGAGACTATCTCTAATAGTATTTTTTGTGTTTGACAGAGACACATACAGTGATGGCATATTAAAAATCAGCCAGATGAAAAAGATTTTTTCTTAATTGTTAAAATTTCGTCGGGTGTTTTCCAAATGTTACAAAGTAACTTTCATACGAATCGGAGAAAAAGAATCAAGTTCATTAAAGTTGAAGGTTTTCTTCGCAGCTCCAATCACATTCCAATGCCACCCAAGTTTAATATTAGAAAAACAAACGCCTATAAAAGCCTGAAGTGAAAGTACAAGTGGAAACTTTTCTTCTCGTGTAAATATTAAGAAAAAAACTGAATCTCTCTACCTATGTTCGACAGTATTTATTACTCTATCATCGAAATAGATATTTATCATTATTCTCTAAATATTGAAAGAGCATAAAATCTAGAACGTCTTATTTTATGTTTTGAACTTTAAAAATGGTAATATTTTGCTCCCGTCGCCGTCTCATTTTTTCAAGAGCTTTTTCTTCTCTCGTTTTATTATTACTGTTTTTTTTCTATCAACGAGTGTCGTCTGTTTTTTCCCTTTTTCTTTTTTCTTTTTAATGAGAAGACCGTTTAGTGAATTTTTTGTCACAAACAAAACAATTGACCAAGCATGCGTATTTTTTGCAATGTCAAACATTGTCGTTTCTATCGAACAGCTTTTCACTGCTAATCTATTGTATTTTTTTTCTTCATCTTGGTAAATATATGGCGGATTTGAAGAAATAAAAATATTGATTGAATCATAAATTATCAGCGATTTTTTTTTCTCATTTGATTTACTGAAGAAGCAAGATTCATTTGGGTGAAAATAAAATGACTTCGTAAGTAACGATTTCTGTTTTTGTCTTGTCGGGTTAACTAGAAAAAGAGTTATTCAGCATGAAATATGCTACTATTAAAGATCGATTAAATATTGAAGGTGGAAAATAGTTTCTTATCTTTTAGTCGTATATTTGAGTTAAATTAAAATTTTCATTCCCGATGTCACAAACATGAACTATAGCCTATATTTGTTATCAACTAAATAAGATGGGTTTCGTGGAAAAGGCAGAAAGGGAAAGCGTCGAAGAGGCAAACATAGAAGGGGAAAATACAGAAATTGTAAACGTCCAACGAAAAAAGTAGAAAACGGAAAATGCCGAAAATTGAGTTTTTTGATTATTTTAAAGAAAAAAAATTCATTTTCTAAATTGGTGTGCACGTATACGTCGTATCTATGTTCAATACAAGTCCAATACATTTTTGAAGAGGACGTTTTATTGCATGTGAACATACATTGGTTAAACACTAGTAATGGTTTACCATTATGAGTCGTTAAGAAAGATATTTCACTGTCCATTGCCAACGATTGAAGAGAGAATTATTTGTTAGTTGTTTTCGCCGCCAGACTGATTTACATATATGGCATACGCTAACAATGAACAAGTATAGACAATAGACGAGAAGGACAACGGATTTAACTTATTCCACTCACAACCAATACCAACTCAAAAAAAATTTCGTTATCTATAGACATCTTTTCAATTCGACGTTTTCACCTTCTGCAATTACCAATTTCGGCGTTTTTCTTTTCTGCCTTTTCCGCTAATTCGAGTTAAATAAGAGAAATAACGTTTTAAATGAAGGGGAAAAGCTGCCCGATGCATTTAGATCGTGTAAATCCGAATCTATTTAAAATTCAAATGTCGGAATCGATGCACAATAAGAACAGTATACGTTATAAATCTATTATTTCGCTAGTCAAAGTTGTACTTTGGTCAATATATGACGGGGTCAAGTAGAAGTACGACCAGGTACATTTTCGGCTGACTCAATATTTCGTCGTAAACGATATCATTTCATTTATGGGCTATAAATTGTAAGTTTGCCTTCAATCATATGCAAATTACAAGTAGCACTTGACGTTTCGCTCTTAAAAATTTTATTTTTCTCATTCACTAAAGAAATAATTAAAGTCTCTCTCTCTCTCTCTCTCTCGTTGACGTCTCGTTCGAAATTAAAAATAATAATTTTATTTATTCAAGAATGTACTATATAGTAACAGTATTTAACCAACGGTATATTCAATACAGAGAAAGAGACCATGAAACTTAGTTTAAAAGTTAAGCAATCTTTTTATTGTTTAGCTAAAAAAAAGAATTTCATATATTAATTTAGACCAAACATTTCTCGAACTTTATTTCATCAGAAAGTACAGTTAATCCTTTCACTGTGTCAGCAAGTCACATAATAGAACAAAATAAAAAAAGAACTTTCACCGCGTACTATTCATTGTAATGGAATTCACAATTCTATTTTTCTTTTTAATAGCAACAAAGCTAGTAGTTCTACTCGTCTTCCAAGTTTATATCGTAAAACACTTATAAAATCGGAATTTGATTATCGCCGTGAAATACGTCGTAAATTAGACCGAATTCAACATGACAATCGTGATATGATGCGTCGTCATTTTGCCAGTGATCATGTATTTGCACACGAACTTTTAACCAAGCGTCACCAATGGTTTGGTATCGATAAAACATATCGAGATGCATGTCGAACAATGTGGAATCGTCAGGCAGCTAACGCTACTCGAACAAGTCATATGACTTTGCCAAGTGTTTACTCGAGAGAAGATGCTTCGCCAACAAGTATAATATCACCGAGAACAGAAGAAGATCTACTAGACAGTGATGAAAAAATCCGAAATGACTTTTTACGCAAACAACCAGTGATGTTAGAAATTATGGGCGCACCACATTCATCTCTATGTCTAAAACATAAACAAGCTGTTGAATTAAGAAAAATAAGCGCTCAAAAACGGCATACGCACATTCAAACAACAGCTGTCAACGATAATCGTTATAAACAACTTGTACATTCATTACAAGACAATTAACAATTTTTTTCGTCGATAAAATATGAAAAAAAAAAACTATTTTCGATGAAAAAATTTCAAGCATAACAATACCATTGTTCTTGACACTTTCAATTGTTTTGTTAAGACAACTAAAGATATTTTTCTTTCTTTTCAAAATATAATCATTATGATTGATATGCAAAGAAAAAGAAAGAAAAAAACATCGCATCCTACATATTCATTGAAGTAAACTGTAATTGTAATATTGTGTAATATAGTTTATGTAACTACTAGCATCTTTGATTTATCTAACTTAAACATTTGATGATACCATGGACTCATTTTTGCATTCATTGCTATATTCGAAAGTACATGCAACCGTTTCTGGCATCATCGACGCTGCCAAAATTTGAGCCTGATAAACTTTTATTTCTCCATGAAGTCGCTACATAGTTGTGAATAAAAGTAATATATGATTTGAAATTCTTGTCTGATAATTTCTAACTAATACTTCAGGCACTGGGCCGTGGCTAATCAGAAGCAGTTCGTTAGAATTCGACTTGTCTTACTATGGAAGGATAGTACAATACATTATTTTAGGGAATCATCTATTTCGATTGAAACCTATTTACATCAAATTCGACAAATTATTAACGACCTGATTTTTTGAACTATTTCTGAAAATCATTGTATTGGCCAATACTGGTTTACTTAAAGAGCAACTCAGATTCCCTGTACAGCACCGCCTCATTTTTCTTCACCATTTCTGTATTAATCAATAGTTTGTAGTCAAACTTACTGAGAACTCTAATCCATGACATCTGTTCCTGAGAACAAAAACCTCCTACTCCCGGCTCAAACCAATAATCGTTGTACTAAATGCTGACGATTCCAATGCATGAATCAAACTAATACTATAATAAATGTTTGTTTTTACGCAATAATTTTGATCATTTCCGATTGAATATCTGAATGCAACCAAGATAAAATTTTTCACAAGTTTTAATAGATAAAAAATCGCAAATGAAAGTGTCGCTCACACACAAAACGCACACAAGTTGTTTCGTTTCAATGCCAAGCGAAAAGAAGAAAAAAAGAAGAAGGATGTATAATAGAAAAAAAAACACAACAACAACAACGACGACCATGACGTCATTGCACATTGATTTAAACAAACAAACAAATGTGAAAACGTATGTTTGTATCTGTGCAATAGTCTTGTCCAAGTCTCTGTTTATTTCATAACCAAAATCTTGTAATACGATCCACATTCGTTTTCTTGGCCGTTGGTGAAGACTCCGTTGGAGATGTTGGTGTTGGTGGTGCGATAGGCGTTGAAGGTAATTGAGGTAGACCAGCAGCAGCCATCATTGTTGTCATTAAATGTTGTTGCATCATGAACATCATCATTGACGCAGCCATAGGATTAAATAAAGAAGGGTTAGGACCTGAAAATACATTACTAAAATCGGGCAAAGGTGCTGGTGTTGCTATATTATTATGGTTAATAATATAATTATAGTTGGTTTGAGGCCGACGAGATTGTGTTGTTGTTGTTGTTGTTGTGGTAGTTGTTGATGATGGTGGTGTTGATACAACCGATGGAACTTGCTTTTGATTTTGGCGTATAATAGATGATGCATTACGAGACTAAATTAATATAAGATAAGAAAAAACATTGAGCCGAAGAGATGGTTTACTTTTCGAGAACGATATAGTGGTTTATAACACATTTGACTACGTACACGTTTATTTGCAAACCATTTTTTAACTTGTTTTTGTGTAATACCTATTTTGTTTCGAAGTGAAAATCTTCTCATTTTTTCTTTTTCTTCATCTTTTCGCTCTTACCTGCTTCACGAGCTAAACGATCTGTTCGTTCATCATCAGGATATGGATAATCGCGATTCGATTGAAACCAATGATTGAGTACAGCAACAGCTCGACTACCAAGAAATCTAATTTCAAAAAAAAACAAAAAATAATAATATTATCTGCTGATATAAAATTCTTTTCCTACCTTGTATTTCGGCATTCTTTATCATCGCTTGGTGAATTCGATCGTTCTTGATTTGTTGGTGATGAACATGTACTACTGTTTGTACTCGGATGACGAATATGAGAATGTATCTGTTGAGGTCGTAAAGGTGTACTATGATAATGATGACGATTTCGTTCTATTCACATAGAAATTACAAAACACCTGAGGTGTTGTTTTTTTTGTATAAAAATATATCGAACGTTGAAAATATCATATTCGTTTCATTCGTTCTATTTTACCTTGTTTAGCCATGGTGGTTAGATCGTTATTCTCATCGCTTGTATCAATAAAACCGCTATCATAAGTTACTTTCTAAAATATTAAAAAGTTTTCCTCGAAGAATAAAGATTCGTGAAATCGAACAATTACTTTTGTATGAAAATTGTTTGCTTCTTGATTATTTGTTGTATGTTGTTCATCTTCACTAGGAAGATATTCATCGTCATCATCCTCATCTTCATTCTCAATCGAAGGCGACAATAAATGTTGTGGGCGATTCGATAAATCCAATGCATCAGGTTCTTGCTTAATTGTGTATTTCATTCGATTCATTCTTAGTTTAGTTTTATTTTTTCTCGAATAATAAATGATTTCAAAACAATCTCGAAATGAAGAGAGAAAAATGAAAATTCAATATAGACCGAAAGAAATAATAAAACACTCCGCGTGTTTTTGAAGTTAATGACAATTCATAATTGATATAACATCAATTATATATTGATGATCACTTACCTAATATATGTCAATATCATCGACTGACTGAAATAACAAAACAGCTGATGAGAAGAATGAACAAAACAAAGAGATATTGTTAGCATATATGATATATTCGAACGAGAGAAGAAAATTCGAAATAAAAACAAGATTAAATAGGACCCTAGTGGGTTGGATATGATGCTCACAACACGTGCCTCTCGATTGCGATATATAACTGAAGAAGCGATATAAGGATTTATATCTCATGATTTTTCTTTCTATGAAAACGATGCTATATAAATTGTTGTTTTTGAATTCTTCATTTCTATTCTCTTCTATATTTTCATGCTCAGTTTATTCGTATGAAACGATGTGTTATATGGGATAGAATTATGAATCACCATCGAATAGAGAAACGAACGCAATAACTAGAAAGTACTTGATTTGTTGTGAATGATTTTCCTCTAGAAGAGAATATGTTACTATATAATAAATAAATAGATTCTATAAGAGAGAATCTATTCGCTTCTGATGAAAAAATAAATCCTGAGGAATACAACTAAACCGAAAATCGGGTATTTTTAGTGGTGTTACTCACTTAAACAGACTTATCAGAGGTTTTCTGACAGTGACTTACAAAATTATTTTTTCTACTGTCAGTAATGTTAACAAGAATAGAGAAGCGGCGGCCAAGATTTCGAATTTTTTTACGCAACTGAGAATTAAACTGATTTTTTGTCTATGTTTTAACATTCTTTCCGCTACGGATATGCGTTGTAATGATCAATTAGGATTCTTCCTTGTTGAACTTAGTCACTTTTTCTGATCGATAATTTCTAGCAACGATATGTTAAATTTGTTTACAATTAATGTAAGAAGAAAGTATTCTATTCATTTTTGTTTGATTCAATTAATGTATTCTGTTGTTGATTGAATTGAAAACATGTGACGACGATTAGACTTATTCTTTTTATGTGTCAACTATTCCTGATGATAAGTTCAACACATGTTTTATTGAACGTTACAATTAGAGAGCAATCATCACCACGATATCAAAAATGAAATGTTTATTTATTCGTTGTAATGAATCAGTTATTTTTTGTCTTTTGATTGAAATATATTCAAGTGTGAACAATAGATTAAGTGTTTAAAAAGTTAATTTTTCTTTATCGAATTTTAAGAGATAGCCATAGATAAATGGTGACAAGGACCGGTTTAGGCTGAAAATTTATTTCAACGTGTCGCAAAGATTGACTGTAATGAGAAGGAGCATGACGGTAATTATTCTTCAATAATGAATTAATTTCGAGATAAATAACGGAAAGATGCACAGCTGGTCATAGTGTTTTGCAATGATGTGTTTCAATATATTCTCGGTCAGTTGACACTCGGTTTATTCAATTGATGTCCACTGAATTACAAATCTCTACAGATACTTGTTGAAAACAAAAAACTTAATGAGACTTTTGTTCGCTCGCAGAATATTAGATGAATACATTTGCACTTGGAAAGAGTTTGCTCAAGGACATCATCTTTAAAGTGATAACGGGAGTGTTTATTTCTTATCAGTGGTTTTTTAACGTACGTAAATACGCTGTATATAGACGATCAGAGTTTTCGTACAGATATAAAGTCTAAACAAAAATTACATCAATAAAAAGTTCTAAGAAAATGTATTTTTCGTCCATTGAAATCAACTGAAAAAAGATTCTTCTTGAAGTTATAATCTATCGAATAAACTCGTCTTGAATAGATAATCTGTTCAAAGTTTCAGGTGCTTAATTTTTGTTTAAGACATAAATGCCACTATCATTATATTTTACGTATATTAAATGTAAAAATCAATGACGAGAAAGTAAAGTGAAATTCTTCTACTGAAACTGCATATTGAAACCGCAAGTGCTTATCTTAAATATTTGTTATCAAACGAAATATGCGTTATAATTGTTGATGACGAGTTTTGTTGTTTTGAAAATGGCCTAACCTTGTCACTGACTTTGATTGTACCGTGAGTAATCTATTGAATCGAAAATTGTAGAATTCGAGCTAAATTATTATTGAGAACAAACACATGTTCGTCTGCCTCTGAACGATTGGTGTTTATTTGAACAGAACAAAATCGAATTCTTTTTAAATTTATTTTATTTTTCAATTAGAAAAAAGAAACACAATCTAAGAAATTCATTTTTTATCAATATCGATACGATTTATGTAGAATAACTTTATCACATTCATAATAAAAACTAACCAATTAATGGTAAAACTTTGAAATTTGAGGTCTATTTTCCAGTCTTTAGAAATGTCTGTCTTGTCACTGTTCATTCAGACTATTTTCTAATGATACACTTCCACATGATGTCGATGCACCTTCACCTAATAAACTACGATGCTTTGCAGCCTCTCTTGGTCCCATATATTGTGATAAATTTTCTTGGGATGATGACGCACTATTACGTAATATACCCGCTGGTTTTGTATATTGTCGTGCAGCGGCATAACCTTGTAATATATTTTCACGAGTTTTATGTGAAGCTGGTACGCTATACTCCGATGCACTAGCCCTAGATGCTTGACTATTGCTATGCTCCGATTCACTTGCTCTAGATGCTTGACTATTGCTTTGTCCTACTAATCCATTACTTGAATATACTTCAGATCTACTTGGTACAGTAGCTGATTGTTTACCAAGATTACTAAAACCCGTACTCGTTCTTGTACCCGCCGAAACATAATTGGAAGCAGATGAACCAGGATCAGTAGTTGAAGCACCGCTTACTAAGTCTTGTCCTTGACTAGCATAGGCATAATTACTACCACTGGGTTGTTCGTAAATTTTTTGTTCGGCACTTTGTACAATTCGATCAACACAACCTCGAAGACCGTCGGCACCTATGACACAACATGTTAATTCATTAAAGGAAAGAAGAAAAAGAATGCTGAAATATTTTACTTTCGAGATAGAGTCTATAAGTTGCAATTTCTTGTTCAAGTGTTGTTTTCAATGCCATGACTTTCTTATAATTGTCTTCAATATGTGATAAATAGGCAGCTGCGTCATTAATTTCTCGTTCGATTCTGCTTGCAGCAAAAGCACCTTAATATAGAAAAATAGATAAGAGAAGGGTTTTTTGATTTTTGAAATATATTTACTTGATTCTTTGAATGCTTTGATTTTTAATTGTAAATCACTCACAAGATTTTGAAGTTGTTGAACTTTAGAACGAAAGTAACTTGTTTGATTTTGTGCGGCTAATAATTCAGCACGCATACGTTCAACTTCTCGGTAGTGTTCTCCCGTTAATGCATAGGTTGAATCGCTTCGTTGACTTTGAACAGAGATATCATTAATTAATATAGAATAACGAGCTTGTAATTCACTACGTTGACTTTCTACGAGTGAATCATATTCTTTACGAATTTCACGTATGGCCATAGCCAATTCATTACGGAAGAATTTCGATGGATCAAGATCAACGGATACAAGTTTAGAACGAAGTTCAGCTAACTGAGCCTCGTCTAAATAATTCAAAAAAGAAATAATAATGAAAAGTTTGAAAATAAATCTTACGTGTTTCCTTAAGTATAATGAATTGTTCGTTAAGAGAAGCTCGGTCCATGTCACATGTAGATCTCAACGATAGTTCACTTCGAATTTGATTTTGAACACTTGATAGTTCTGATGTTAAACGTTGACCTTCAACTTTATACAATCGTATTTCATCTTCGAGATCAGCTACGCGACGACGAAATAAAGCTATGTGCTAGATAAGAGAAATTGTTTTTTTTTCTTTTAGAGAGAACTGATCTCAATAAAAAGAAAGTATTAACTTACACCTTGATTCTCAACATATCGTTCTAGAAGATCATGAAACTCTTTTTGATCTGCTCTTGATGTTGATAAGCAGGTAAATCGTGCCTTTTGACGTTTCAATTCTTCTTCAGCTTCGACTATTTTCGAATGTGCGTCACCCGCCATACGTTTTGAATCTTCAACAAGTTTTGTTGCTTCCTGAATTTCAGTTTCGTACATTACTTTGAGGTGTGTTGAACCTCTAAATTGCAAAACAAAAAGAAACATATGAACATTTTAAATCCATTTTGATCGTGTTCCTCTTACTGTCCGGAACGATTCTGTAAATAATTCAATTCCATAGCTAATTTTCGATTATGTGCTTCCAAATATCGAACTTTCTCTACATATTGTGCAAATTTATCATTTAAAAATACAAGATCACGCTTTTCACGAAGTCGCGTTGATTGAATTTGAAGACTTGCCGCATCAGTAATACTGGCATAAGTAGCAGATCGACTACCACGAATAGCCACACCAGCAACGTTTACTAACGAAGCTAGACCTTGTCCAAAATTGCTACCAGATACAGACGATAAAGAACTTTGTTGAATTCTTGAAATACCACTACCGAAACCTGTTGCACGCGATCGTTGACTACTGGTTACACGGGGGCCCATTGCTGATCGATATGCTGTTGTACCTACTCCTGACCCAACAAAACTTTCTTCCGTATGAATACCGCTACTACGTGACGAAGTACTCTGAAGTTGTTCGTAATTGTTATACATATTTGATGGATTCATGACAAGTGATTATGACTTTTAGAATCTAAAAAAAAAGCAACAATAAATGATTTTATTTCAATTGTTTAAGTTTTCTGTGTTTGCTTCAATGACTCTAGTGTTATGATGGTTTCGGTCGCATTTTACTTTCTATCTAACATTCCTTAGCTTCTTTTGAAAGAAAAAGAAAGAAGATTCCCTTTTATTTATCAACATGCCATAGCAAAAAAGTAGTATCTTTGTAAAAAAAAAAGAAATACAGTTATCTGTGGTTCTTTTGAGGGAATATGGTTATAAAATTCTTTATCTCTGTTGACAAAGACACAGGGTTTTTAATGATAATCGACGTAGGTGAGCAGCAAATAATATTCATATTTATCTTTACAAAGGAGAAAATGAATATCAAAACGTAGGAATGTGTCTCTTTCTCTTTAAAATATGTCTATTTAAGAGTTTATAAAAATTGAATACAAATATAAAGAGCATTCAAAACAAAACAAACATACTAAAAGAAAGTCACAAGTTGTGAGTCACAACTTTGAAAAGTAAAATTTTTTCTCTCTCGCTACGATTGTTACCACTCTATCATATAGACAATATTGTATAGTACTTCCGTTGAATTTAAGTAATCATGTGATGTGAACCAGGTCTAAATTGCGGATATAAATATTGATTAGGACGAGTGTTATGTCAATGTTTCTTCTTTTGCTGTTGATACTGTTGACGCACGTAACACATTTGTTAGATACTGAGAATGAATAAATTTCATATTCAAATCATTTAGTTAAAATTATTTTCAAGTAGAAGAGTTTTTAAGTGTAAAATTTCTACAGTTTAATTTATTTTTAACAAACCGTACGTTCAGTGTTTCGATTACGAATTCGATGCTGTGAATTATCGCCTATAACTGTAGAATTCAGAAGATGAATTCGATAATTAATCCTTAAATCGTTGTTTTTTGTTAGAGATTTTCGATTTGGTCATAGGAAAATTTATTGGAAGTAGCATTTTTATTCAAAAAAAAAATAAACTTTTACACTTCAATGCACATTCTTATGACTACAATTAACAATTTCAAGACGAGATTCATCATAACAATACCATGAAGCATTTTCATCCAGTAATTTTGTTCGAACGGTTCGTGCATAAAAAAACCATGTATAAATATTAATAATGATAACAGTTAGCAAAAAGATAAGAAAAATGAATCGATTAATAATATGCAATGCGTATAGACTTTCTCGATTTTTGGTTGTTGTTTGACTGACTAATTTCGTTAACTGAGACTGTCGAGATTTATTTTGCGTATGAATAGATGATTTTCGTATGCGTTCATTTTTTGATGGTGATAGTGAAATATTTGATAATCGTCGTCGAATCCATACTAATGATGGTGAATTTGGAGCCGAAATATTTGTTTCATTACTGGGCGATATATTCGATTGTAAAGGTAGCGTTAAAAGAGTAGTTTGTTCGTTCGATGATGGAGATTTGTTAATTGATAGAATTGGAGCTGTTGCTGAAATTCTACTTGATTCGGGATCTCGTTCCGAACCATCATTATTGGAATTTGTTGTTGTTTGTGGTGCTAGATTAGTAACACCTATCGATGGTCGAGAAGCAGCACTTTTCAGTTCTTCAAGTTCCACAGCACGTACGGCTTTTTGATGCATACTTCTAGCAAATACAAGCCAAGATAGATAATTCAGTACGAACCACCGAAGCCAATATGGCAGCCGTTTCTTTTCACGTAATTTATTAGCAATAGCAAACCAAGTCATAGCCAATAATGAAATCAACATGCATATAGTTAAATATAAACTGATCAAATGCACACTATCACTTTGCGACGGTACATCTTCTGATAGACGTAAACTGAATACGGAATAAGCTAACATAATACTAATGCCTATTTGCATTTCTTGAGCAAAAGGAATCTTAAATAAAATCAAAAAAAGTTGTTGTTTTCTGTGATTGTTTTCTTAATATTTTATTACTCACAAAAAATGAGACAAGAGTTAAAGTCGTTAACATTAATGCTGGTACAACAGTATTATAAATAGCTTGTAAAGGTTTTCGTACAATTAAAATTGTAAAATTAACTTCATAGAATGTATCAGGTTCAACCCAATTTGGATAATCAACGGTTTTAATCGATTGTGTGATAGCTAACAATTTCCATTCATTATTGGGTACGTATTGTGGTATTTCTGGTTTATTCTCCCAAAATTGATAATGTATTAAAGAACTTGTATGACTCCATGAACCAAATATCATATCACAAGTTTGTTCATCTAGATGTCAAAAACAAAAATCCATAATAATATGAGAGAAAATATAAACTTTTTCTTTGTTTTTGTTTTTGTTTTTCGAATAATAGAATATAACTAGTTTTCTCATGTATACTCTTATTGATTATCATTTGTCTTAGTTCGTGTATTAGAACAAGATATGATTTTTATTTACAATATGTAATCTTCAATCGACAAAGCGTGTCATGATTTGTGACGCCTCTATGATTCTATCTGTCACAATGCGTCACACTTCTATAGTCATGCTTGTTGAAGATATCTACGTTGTCAACTAACATACTTCAATATTCTTTATAGATCATATTCCACAAACAAGCAAGACACTTATTTGTAGAAAAATTTTAACTAGATGTGATCTATGCATAACTATGCTCGTTTTTGTTTTCTTTAATATAGATTTGCGATCATGCTGTGCCATGCAAGGCATTGGTATTAGACTCAGACTCCAATAGGTTCTATTTTTCTTTTCTTCAAAGATTTATGTCAGTCGATTTCTTTTGTTTTTGTATGGCAATCAATAGTTTAGAATTTATTACCAAAAGGAAAATGTTTAATCGTCATTCGGCAACGTGTTCGTAATTGGGCAAGCGGTAGTGGCCAAAATACTGTTCCATTGAAACTCACAATCATATTTTGTGAATCTTGTGGAAGGAGAAAACCAGCATTATCAGCTGTATTGTATAAAAATGTATCGGGATACCTAAACAAAATAGTTTCGAAATTGCAAAAAAAAACAAAGAAATACTAGAATATATAAAATAGTACCAGACAGATGTTGCTGCTATTCGAATCCAAGTTATATTTTTAAATTCGACTGGATTCCAAACAAGCCGTGGATCTGTAGATTTTTTTTTGAAGATTTTTATTTGAAAGAAAATTCCTATAGTTTTATTTTCCGTACCTGTCCATTTTTGATCAACAAAACAATTTGTCACAATAATTTGTTCTTTTTCAACCATTGATATAATTTGATTGAATATAAAACGAATATCAACAACGACTTCTTGTAATGGGCGAACTTTTTTTAAATACGTTGATTCATTTAAAAGCTTACGTATTAAACGTGTTTCTTCTTGAAATAATGTATAATCAGCTAGAGTAAAATTAATCAACGGAATTAATAAATGCAAATAACAACAGATATAGACTAGTCGATATATCAGCATTTTTATATAATTCTTATCTCGACAGGTTCACTCTATTTTCGCTTGATTTGTCGTCACTACTACATTCGATTGAAGTTAATTATAATAATAATAATTGTATAAGTAGTGTTCTTTGTGAATTTTCAATTTTCCAATAATTTATATATCGTATTTGCTTATTTTTAATAATGACATGTGGCGGAGTCTAAAAAAGAAATAGACACAAACTAGTTTAATGATTCTCAGGGGTGATGATCAATGAGAAACGGCTGTCGGTGTAGTTATAAAGCTAATAATGAAAGCAAAAAAGACAAGGAAAATCAAAGAGATAGTTAAATGATATAAATTAAAAGCAAAAGCAAAATGAAATACACATGTTTGAAAAAATTGCATTCTTCTAGACAAAGGAAAGATCAAATCCTAAATTGCAAATGTCACCGAAAACTTTCATTAATTATTACCCGTTGTAACATGCCTGAAAACAGAAACGTAAGACAGAGATATGTACATGGGCGAGAAGATGGATAGAGATATTTATATGGGCAAGAAGATGGATAGAAATATGCGCATGGGCGAGAAGATGGATAGGTATGAAGAATCATGACATTAGAAGAGAAGAAATAAATCCGAGTGTATGATTATAAGCAGTTGGTAACATTCAAACTTAGATAGAATTATCTGCTTGCCATCGAGTCTTTCGTAGCCGAGCCAGCACACCGACTGTTGCTTATACGTTAATAAACTTACAATAGAATTAAGCAATAACACATGGATTAAATCATACAGGGTGCTCACTCAGGAGTTACTGGTGATTTTACAGTAACAACAAAAATTCATATTGAGAAAGAAAGAGGAAAAAGAAAAATGAGACAAGTGTACGTCCTTAGGGAAAATCTATTAATAAAACACAAAGAGAATTCAATTATGATCTAATTCAATCGTAATATTACCGTTCCTATTTAACTAGGTCACTATGAAATTCCGGTCGCATCAACGGTAATAATGATGAAGAAAAGCAATAAAAGTCAATCTACATATGAATGTATTTCTAAACATGTGTCTCTCTTATGTTTTCACTATTTTCTCGTCAATACAAACTCTTAATAGGATGAATCATAGAGTATAATAATTTGATGCTGGTGTATCTTGATTGATTATTTTATTTGCAAAGGTTTTCCTGAATGCAAAAGAAATCGAAGAAGAAGAAAGACAGGAGATTTTTTTCTATTTTTATTATATCGATCAAATTCTCTTTTCTCTTTCCCCTTTTTTGCCTTCATTGTTGTTGTTGTTGCTGTTCTTCTTCGTCTTTAATAATTAAAAAAACTAAGACGAAAGAAAATAGTCGTACGGAAAAATGAAATTATTAAGAAAGAAAGAAAAAAACTTTACGATAGAATATCAAGGTAATGTGAATGAAACACAATAATTAAAACATAAATACTGACATCACAAGAAACACGATATGATTATTACAAAAGTCTCATGAAAAGCCGCTTTTAGCTGATGAATTGCTTTCTTACGAAAAGCTACTAGGATAGATTATAGTTTATCGATCAATACTAACTCAAAATATTTCTGTGAAAAAAGAAAATTCCCTCCGGTCTTGGTATGTGAGTTGTATAGAAACTCGTAACGTTAGATTGATAAATATTTTGCTACTGTTGTTTTTGGTGTACGCAGACAAACAAAAGAACATCTAGACTCATTGATTTTGTTGTAGATCCGAAATGCTTTCTGTCCTTCAAAAATGACTTACGAGGAAAGGTCCTTGAGTGCGCCTCTGGGATTTTAACCTAAAGTAAATGGATGTGTCAGGTCAAATATTGGTATCTCAAATATACACAAATTAGCTGCCCAGAGCAAACAAATCAAAAAATTAAAGTGAACAAATTTTTTTATACCCTGAGGAATGCCACCAGTACTTTGTCATTTAAAATATTCGTCGGTGGTACCCCTCAGGGTATTAAAAAATTTGTTCACTTAAATTTTTTGATGCGTTTGCTCTGGGCAGCTAATTTGTATATATTTGAGATACCGATACTTGACATGGCACATCCATTTACTTTTGCTTAAAATCCCGGAGACATTCAGGGACCTTCTCTCGTTAGAGGCTTCTCGTATTGTAATAGTAAATGTGTATCTTTTATATCAGTTAAAAGAATCATATTTCCGATGAACACGAGCGAAACAAAATAGATTTGAAGCTGAAAATTTCATTGTATGTTAGATAATTCAATATGATTAATAATCTGGCTGAAGCGGAAAATATTTCTTTGCACTCGCGATAATATTCGAGAATCCAAAATATGACCCGTTTTTAACAATAAAACAATCGCTAAGTTGATAAAGTTTCTTCATCTACTGTTTCTTATGGCAGTTGATTAGTTATCATTTACAAAACAAACATACTTGAGAATAACTCTGTTCAAATAATGCATAACTGATTGTTATGCTATATAATAAGAAAAATAGTACGATATCCGTCAAGCCATAAGGGAAAGCTCTTCTTGTGCGAGTGCAATTACATGAAAGAAACCTTCATATCTTAATCGATCTTTACGTGCCATACGAGGATGTGTATATTGTTTATCAATAAATGTTTGCACGGATATATATAAGATTGGATAGGCAATTCATAAATCATTTATTATCTCCGATAGAAAAGACAAAATATACAATTAAAATTAAACGAATATGTTAGAAGTTTCGTTTTGCTTATCAACTACGATACAGTTTGTAAATGTCCACGCAAAAGAGGCTTTAATTTGTCTTTTAAATCGCTTGACGATGATGCATAAGCATTAATTATTAGTGGAATATGACATGTCAACACTCGACCGTACCATACACCCGATGGATAAATAATTACATTGCCAGCAAATTTATGCCCGCCTAGATATAAATAATAAGATTTTCATTGTAATGTTTATTATGAAAATAGGAAATGAATAGTTGACGGAGAGTTATAAGCTTACCGACATGACTTATTTTCAAGCAAGTAACATCATCAGTGCGATTTGTTGCACGAACAAATTTTTCTATTTCGCCAACTAAAATTGGTCCAATGACACCTAAAAGTAGACAAAAAAAAGAATAGATAATTAAATTTTTTAAATTGATGTAAATAAATCGGAAATATTAATTAAGAAACTCCTACGGGAAAACTATATTAGCAGGAAACATGACGAGTTTTGTAATAGGCTTGAACGTCATTAATATCTGCCTCTAGCATGTAAAAAAATAATGCCTATAGAAGATAATCTTTTCAATATGCATTTGTAGTTTTAAGTCAGAATTCTATATTAACGACTATAGAATACTGGCAAACATTTTCTTTTCTTCTTTTGTATTGGTACCTATACTTGTCTTGGCAATCCCGAAAGAACTGTATATATTCTTTTTTCTCACTGTATAACAGTCCAATAGATTTGTTTATTAGTTTTGTCTACACAGTAATAACTACAATAACGATATAAGAGATTGATGCCGTCTTAATTCTGTTCTTGCGTGTTCAAGCTTGTTTCCCGCTGAAATCCATCAACGAAGATTAAAGTTCACATTATTATAGATTATTTAACAATATTATATCATAATTTGATATTCATCAGATACTGACATTATTAATTCACTATAAAATTAATCGTTTTTTTTCATTATGCTACCCTTTATGTCTTAAGGAAAATATATAAATAGATGTATATTACATTTTCATAATGAGTAACTATTTGATAGGATATGATGTCCATTGAGCGAAGCAAAAGCGCGAAAATTATAACAGCGAAAAACATCTTCAGCGAATATCTCTGTGCTCAAAAATTTTCGCTAAAATTGTTTTCGCTGATTTGCCCCCATACCCTTTCAAGGGGTGCCATTCATTGATATTCAGCTCCTTTTGAACTAGTCGTTCGTCTACTAAGGGCTTTTTTTTTACCTATGCCTACTATGTGACTACCTGCACAATATCTGAGCATTTTCATGCACAAAATACTAACTACAAATGATTTCTAGTATGATTTTCCAGTTCATGAAAGGTACTCGAACAAATTGTTTGAAGGCTGTCCATAGGAGGCATTGCACGTAAGCCACGACCGTTTTCAGTAGAACCTGGCTCAATCAATCTCACGGATCCGACTGATATTTTTACAATAGATGCCTACATTCAAGCTAGGAATAAGACCTAAAATTGCAGCTCAAACAGATGAACCGTTCTCGAGATATATGACTTCAAAGTATGGGTACTCGATCAAAATTAGACGTTTTCTTATTGCAGTACTTTTCAGCATATTTTCATTTTCTCTCAATTTATAAGAGATATCACTGAGATTTTTTTCACCAAAGATAGTATCGATTACGGGCTATCTTTTCATAGCCATAGAAGTACTACATTCAGGAATAATTTTTGATTGACACCATATTTGATTTTCAGAAAGTATGCCCACGTATTTTGGGCAACGTAGTCGAACCAGTGAGATCGTATCCACTGAAAGTAATCTCATACGAAAGAGCACATCAAAACGCATCGAGTGATGTTTTCAAAAGTTTGCCAAATTAAATTTTGGCTTAGAAAAAATCTTAACGTTTTCATTAAAAATTTCCATCTGTTAAAAATTGATTTATCCGATATTTTGATTGTTTCATCACGAACAACTAGCGTTTTCGAGAAACTAGCTTCATAGTTTGATAGTACTTAAGATTCTCTACACATTCATATACGAACATATTGTGTTGCATCCTTTCGTTAAAAAATTCTAGTACAATGATGATGTTTTTCTCCTCAAATTCTTCCAATTAGAATTTCTGTATTCTTTTTTTTTCAGTTTCTGATTCCTATTTGAATCAAAAACACAAATTACCTCAAAATCAAATGCATACCGTAATATAGCGTGAAATATTCTATCATTTTACACACTAGAAACTGAATTGTGATACATTAAAAAGCTAGAACGAGAAATTTATAAAACTATCAAAAACGGCAATAAATAACTAAAATTTTTTATTAATGATTAATTTTTTGAAACCTTGATAGATGCTGATGTTTCTGGAGCCGTTCATCTTCTCTATCGTGACCTAATCAAATGAGCAATTTATTTATATTGCTTCTGTCACGACTCTTCTCGGTTTGGATTTCATTGAAATCGACGGCAGAAAAAGGGTTCAATGCTTAACCTGTTGATTCTTAAAGTCCTCTCATTGCCTGCATTTCCATGCGATGGATTGTACAAAGACGATCACCGTATGGAAATTATTCAAAATGTTGAATCGAATGAAATTGTGCAACACGATTGTAAGATGATGATTTTCTTTATCTCTTCTTAACTATGTGGAAAGAATCATTAGGGTCTATGTATAAGCAATGACCAGTGTCACTTCATCTTATATCAAATCGATATCTATAGAAGCAACCTAAAACATTCATAGATAGTAAAAATAAATGGCACGAAAACTTGAATTTTATTATGACGTTTCAAGAGAAATGAAGACGCTGACACCTTATTTTTTGCGAGAAAGGCGTTTCTAATATCAATAAACGGTGCTGATCGATCAAGAATTAAACTGCATTCAAAAATTTCATATCATCCTTAGTTTAATCTGTGAATAACACGAATTTGTACTTAACAAGGCACCATACTATTCTTTAAATTAATTAATTATACAGCGTCCGACAATCAATTGTTAAAGCCAGAAGAAATACTATACAAAAAAGGCTCGGTGGAGGATGCATTATTATATCTACTTTGAGATGTGTAGAAACTACAAGAACCTATATTTTTTCATGTAGAGAACATTCACTCGATAGATACATCATGCGTTCGTCAATAGGCGTATTTATTCTATAGATTTAAAAATAAGCAGATGCCAACAGAATCTCGTGAATAAAACTGACTCCATCGTTAAAAGATAATAAGATGTTAATTGAGACCTTGTCCTACGAAGTAAGTGATACAAATTTAGAATTACAAAAACCGCATTTTCAATTATATTAGCTGAAATATTTGAAATATTCAAAGTTTGAGCACAAATAGCCTATTAATCTTAAAGCAACGGTTTCTTCAACATCGATTAAAAGTAAAACATATTACCGGACGTCCGCTTCAACTGACAAATCAAAAGAACGTACGTTAAGTGAGCACAATATTCTAATAATTCCAGTCTCGATTTGCTCTCTGATCTGTGTTGGGTCTACAATAGGTCGTGTTCGATAGAGAATTTCTCCCGCTAGCGAGTAGGAATAAATTCGGGAGAGGGGCATGTTATATCGGGGCAGAAAATGGGGGTTTATTCAAGAAATACACACTTTCCCTATTGCACAGATAATACATAAACACTATTTTCAGTCCGAATTCCCTTTGAGACCTGTGTTGGATCTGAAACTGTCTTTATTCGATATAGAATTTCATTTCCTACCGCACAGTATCATTTTACATGCAATCATCAGACAAAAAAATGATGAGTTTGGTGGATACCTGGGCGTAGGGGCGAGTCATTAACATTAATATTTAATTAATGTTAATTTTTTCTGAGAAAAACTTAATTCATTAATATTAATGTTAATGTTTTCACCAAAATAGTAGATAATCTTTCCTTAGAAAAATCTAATTCACTAATATGAATAATTCATGTTTTCATGAAAACATTAACAATTAATAGACATTAATTAATGAAAGTCATTAATTAAGTTCCGTTAAAACAATGGCCCACCCCTACCTGGGCGTGTATATATATCTGAGTATGACCGTGGATGAGACCGGCTCATCTTGGGAATGAAAAAGTAATGCCCACAAATTTTGCAATAAGTCGGAAAGTATGGTAAATAATCAATGGTGACCGCACATCTCACCGCACTCACAACCATATATATCCACATTCAGGTATCCACCCGACTCATAATTTTTGTCTGATGATCCCATCTAAAATGATATCATACGGTTGAAAATGAAATTCTACATCGGCTAATAACATCTTTAGATCCAAAACAGGTCTCAAAACGAATTCGAGATGATAATAGTTTTAATGTATTAGGAGTTCAATGGGGAAACATGAGTATTTCTTGAATCAATCCCATTTTCTGCCCTATGACCTGCATTGAATTTAATTCCCGATCTATATAGGAGGAAATTCTCCGTTCAATACAACCTGAAATAGACCCAACACACGTCACAGACCGAATCTTGACTCGAATAACTCCAATATCATGTTACCTTTATTGGCCTCAAAACAATATTCAACATTCTTAATATAAACAATAGTTATTTAAAGACAAATGCTTCCCAGTACGGCGCGATACAGTTTTATAGCAGATTTTTAACATACTTCTCTCATGTTTCTATCTCATTCTGTTGTATCTACATATCGCTAACTTTTTCATCTTTGTGAAGAAATCGATATATTTTAATTCTGAATATGATTATGCGATTGAAGATACTCAACAATTGATATCTTGCATCACACTGATCGAATTTGTCTGAAATATTTGTGTATGCTATTTGCATTTCTGCGCCGAGAAATTTGCCTTAGTCGATATTTTTAATGTATCACAATTCAGTTTCTAGTGTGTAAAATGATAGAATATTTCACGCTATATTACGGTATGCATTTGATTTTGAGGTAATTTGTGTTTTTGATTCAAATAGGAATCAGAAACTGAAAAAAAAAGAATACAGAAATTCTAATTGGAAGAATTTGAGGAGAAAAACATCATCATTGTACTAGAATTTTTTAACGAAAGGATGCAACACAATATGTTCGTATATGAATGTGTAGAGAATCTTAAGTACTATCAAACTATGAAGCTAGTATCTCGAAAACGCTAGTTGTTCGTGATGAAACAATCAAAATATCGGATAAATCAATTTTTAACAGATGGAAATTTTTAATGAAAACGTTAAGATTTTTTCTAAGCCAAAATTTAATTTGGCAAACTTTTGAAAACATCACTCGATGCGTTTTGATGTGCTCTTTCGTATGAGATTACTTTCAGTGGATACGATCTCACTGGTTCGACTACGTTGCCCAAAATACGTGGGCATACTTTCTGAAAATCAAATATGGTGTCAATCAAAAATTATTCCTGAATGTAGTACTTCTATGGCTATGAAAAGATAGCCCGTAATCGATACTATCTTTGGTGAAAAAAATCTCAGTGATATCTCTTATGACTTGAGAGAAAATGAAAATATGCTGAAAAGTACTGCAATAAGAAAACGTCTAATTTTGATCGAGTACCCATACTTTGAAGTCATATATCTCGAGAACGGTTCATCTGTTTGAGCTGCAATTTTAGGTCTTATTCCTAGCTTGAATGTAGGCATCTATTGTAAAAATATCAGTCGGATCCGTGAGATTGATTGAGCCAGGTTCTACTGAAAACGGTCGTGGCTTACGTGCAATGCCTGATAGCTGATTCAGACTAGACTATGCAGAGAATATAATCACATAGGCTAAGGAAATTTCATAATGGCCATATACTATTCTACATTCTCATAATAAAAATCCAGAATTTGAATGTCGCAGGCTTGTTTTATTATCTATTAAAATTAATATAATATACCGCATCGTTGATCACGTTGATAATGACAACAAACAAGTATCCACAGGCCATGTAGCCTTTCAAATTTAATATTATCATAAGAAACAGATAAATCCGAATTTTGTTGGAGTTGTTCTTCAATAGATTTTGTTTTATCTTTTATTTTAACAATCGATTGATCGTTAACAAATATTTTTTGAACCAAATCTTTTATTTGATTTACATGAACATTTTTTAGTTTAATTTGATCTGGAAATAAATACCAGTCAGCTGTTTGTTCTGAATGAATTTTTGAATCTATCGATGCTGATGTTAATTTAATTGGATAGCCAATAGCATCTTTATTTTCTAGTAGAACTTTATTTAATTCTTTAATATAATTTCCTTGTAAATCTTTAACATCTTTTGGCCATTGCGATGGTTGAATTGATTGACCAATACATAAATGACGATGATGTTTTTCAACTGAATTACTCATATTAGTTTGATCAATCTTTTTAAGTATTTCTTGTGGATAAGAAACATGTTTTCTACAAGGCATTTCACAACCTGTACACGGATCAAGATGAGTGGCATCTAGAAAAAAAAGTAACTTCAGCCTTATGCAAATCGAGCAATTTATTTTTGAAAATACCACTTGTTGAATTTCTTATTAAATTTGGTAATCTTTTTTCTTTATTAGAATTTATAAGAAATAATCGAAAGTAGGAAAGCATCAATCTAGAAATTAATTAGAAAATGTTATTTTTAGTAATCATAATCTTCTTATGTTTGTCAATCTTGAGAGATTCAAATCAATATGATTCTTCCGTGAGGAAAATAAATTATTTTTATCAATCCTCATTATGATTATTTCGACACTATAGGGGAATTTTTAAGTCGCCTATTTAATCGAGTTTTTATCAAAAACGGTAATATTTAATTCTACAGATATTAAATATATTTTAATGATAAATGAGGTTCTTACATTAGACGTGCATATTCAAGTAGACCGTTTTTGTTTTAGTACATCATGCATCGTACGAAAAAGAAAGACTCTATTGCTTGTTGTTGTTTAACATGCAAAGAACAAATAGTTAGCTTTTCTAAAATGCTTTGATGCATCGCTTATGAAATCAATAATACTATAGTTTTTGTTAGATTCTACCCAGGAAGGGGTGCAGCGACCTAACTCTACCGAAAAAACAGATTCATTCATTAGTTCTTATTTTAGAAAAATGTATTATAGACGAGGACTTTGAATAATCTAGTCATTAACTGTCGATGTTTTTTTCTGTTTCGCTAGTTCTCCAGGGTAGTACTGAACGTTCTTCATCCATAACCTCAACACAGCTTGTCTCTTACGTGATGAACAATGATAAATTCATACGAAACACGAATTCATTTTGTTTTATTGGATCATCTTTAAATATTCTAGGCATGCGTATAAGAGACTCGTCAAACAGGAAGAAAATCGTGGCTATGGTTGAGTTTTTGTGAAGATTTTAACTAGCATGAATGTTAGGGACCCTACAGTTAGTTGTCCTTGTATTTCAGACCTACAGTGGATTGTTTCATATTATCTTACGGCACTGTCCAATCAGTTCGAGCAAATAAATATTACTTTTTTAAATGATCAAATTTGAAATATCAGTTACACATGCAGTCTAATATGTATGCTTTTTTTCACAGAGGATTTTTTATATGAAGACAAATTCCAAATCAAATTCTTTTTATTTACTATTGTTACAGTAGGCAAAAATGACCATAATCTAACTAATATATTTTGACAAAAAATTTATTATATTATTTTGGTGAACTCAAGATCATTTGAATGCCTCATGCTGTTAGATAATATTGACTACCGCTAATATTCCATCGACACTTGAGAACATATCTCGAAAAAAGATTATTTATTAAAAAAATACAAGTCAAGTCATTTCGTCAAGATATTGTGAAGTTAAATAAATCTTACTTTCTTGTTTGTTGTAACTATTTTAAGCTAACATTACTAAGTAAACAAATCTAGTATTATTCTGTATACGATTGATTTCATCTTGAATAAATGATAATATACTTTTATCTTCCTCTGCATTGCCTTTGATAAAAACTCATGTTACATGTTGCTGAGAAATTCGCTCAACAATCTGAAGAATACATGACCAAATAATGTTAATTTTTTTTCTGTCTCCTTCTATTGTCATTGCATAAAAATAACCGTATGAAATCATAAAAGAAAAAGAAAGCGAAGAAGAACAACAATAGATATACACTACATTCAGGTTTCAAAAAACATGTCTATAAGTTTGTTTTTAGTCCATGAATGTAGAATAGAGATGAAATACACACAGATACATTTGTTTTTGCTTTTTTCCGAATATGCATATACATAGAGGAGACAATCCAGACACACACACACACACACACGCACACAAAGGCTCGAACAAATGAAAAGAAAAATTTACAATTTCGTTCAGTTTTGTTGTATTATTTTAAGTCAAGATGATGTTTTTGTTGACCGTTGGATTATAAGTTTTTCTACTTCTTGAAGTTTTTTCAAAATTTTTTGTTTTTCTTTCTTTTTACTAGAATCAGAGTTTTCTTCATTGTTGGCATCGCTTGATGGTTTCTGAGAATCTGTTGCAGTTAGTTTCGTTTTTTTTGCTGCATTGGTCGAACCTGTGGATGATGAATTATCACGGCGTTTCTATCGAACAAATAAATAGTCTTTGTAGAGTTAAGTTAAAAAAGAAATTCTGATTTACTTTAGCAGATGTCAACGATGAATCTTTAGTTTTTGAGGCTTCACGGTTCACAGAATCGTGTTTTGACTTAGTACTTGCATTTTTACTGCCACCACCAGATGATGAAGATAATTGTCGATTGATTGGTTTTGTTGAATGACTGCTACTACTACTGACTGTTGTTTTACCTCCACCAGATCCTAAGAAAATAAAATGCAATATACAGCTTGTACTTTATTTGAGATAATCTTGGCGAGGATATGTTTTCAGAGAGACTTAAATTGCAAATGCTAATAGGAACAAATCTTCGTTTATTTTCTAAGAAATCTTAAGTACACGAAGGATAAAATTGCAGGAGATGTTAAACTACGATGAGTACGTTAGGTTTCATGTCGGTTCGTTCTCACCCATCTAAACTAGTATCTGCCCTACTGTTAATCCTTGATCATCAATGTGCCGATAAGCTATTTTTATCCTAATATTTATCTAAATAAAATATATACCCATAACTGAATATCGAGTAGCACGCATAGATCGGATTACGGTTATTTGAATCTACAGAATTAAGTGGTTCATTAACCTTATAAATTAATATTGCTTATACACATAAACTATGAACTCATCTTATAGGAAATTATACCTGGTTTTGTTTTAATTCGTGTTTCATTCTCTGAACTTGAACTGCCCGATGATGAACTAGATGATCGATGGGTAATTCGATTAGCATCACTATCCGACGATGATGATGAACTTGTACTATCAGATCGACTAAATAGAAATAGAAGAATCATTTTATTATTCAATGTGTTATTGTTTTACATACCTAATATTTTCTTTTTTTGTTGGTTTTTTAATATTTATATCCGAATCTTTTCCATATTGATCTTTTAAATGATTATTAGTCGAAGAACCAGTAGTAATACTACTTTTTTCAGCTTTTTTTAATGTATGACTTGAAATTTGTCGACCAGGAAGAAATTTATTTGTTGTTGTTGTTGCTGCTGCTGACGATGGTGATACTAATTTTTTATTACTATTTGACTTTTTTTCATTGCCATTTTTAACCATTCTAATTAAAAAACAAGAAAAATGTTTAAATGAAAAGAAATATGTAATTTCAAGGTATCTTTTTTTTCTTAAAAACAAAAACAAGCTAAAGTACTCGGATAATTTTGTCGTCGAATTTGGTTTTGTTGCACGTGTTACCGATGGTGAACGACGTTTTGGTCTACTTCTTGACCTCGATCTAAAACCGTAACTCGAACGTGAAATCATAATGCAAATTTTTTAAAATTCAATTCATGCAGGTGCAAACGCGTAGTTTTTAGTATGAATTTAAACTTGCCTTGATCGACTTGACGATGAAGTTGAATGAGAACGTGAATGAGTTGATCGAGATGAACTGAATCGAGAATATCAATTTCCGATAGGGCACGTACTTGAGAGAAAAATTACCTTGAAGATGTACCGGATGATGACGATGAATAGGATGGCTCTCGAACACCACCTGATGGACGACGATTACTACCACCACCACCAGCACCGGCACCACCTGCATGATTTCTTGATCTAAAAAATTTTGAATTATAGAGAATTCTTCTGATAATGAAATCAATTTTTAGAAGAAGCCGAGCTGCGAGTGGACATTCACGATGATTCACAGTTCTCAATCATTGTTTTAAATTTCACTGTCTTGACAGCCTTTGACTAATGGTTTTCAAATATTAGTCTGAAACTTTTCATTTCATAACTAAATAAATCTTTCTTAAATACCTGTCCCATGGATCATGCCAATCATCTCCACGTCGACCACTATATGGATTGAAATGTGATTGTACATCATTATTATGATGTGAACCGGATGCATACTGTTGTTGAGATAAATTTCGTTTAAAAGAGGATGAATCATCTTTTTTCAATGTTGCTTTGCTAATGAAAGAGAAAAAAACAAATATTTATTATGAATATGTTGACTCGTAAAAAGATTTCTTACTTGTGCTTTGTTGAAAGATTTTCTTTTCTATTTCTATTATCATTTCGAGAATCTGTATAATCATCTGCATGACGCGAACGACGATCAGAATGATCATTAGGTGGTAATGCATTATTATTATTATTATTATTATTATTATTACGAGAATTATTATTCGTTCGATGATGATTATTATAATGAGAATTACCAGATGTATTTGGATAGTTATATGCATGATACCGATCGTGATAACCACGTTGATCAGGATAATTAGTTCCCGATAAATTATTCAGATCATAATCCATTGGAGATGGTCTGGAAAAGAAACGATTACCTATTAATGTATGAAACACTCATAGGAAATATTTTACCGGTCAATATTTAAAACATTATCGTCACCATCTTTTTCATCAAGTGCATCTCGAATCGTTAAATTGAATTTTTTATCATTAAAATCTTTATCTTGTTGTTTACGTCGCATCGATTGTTCACGAAGCTGAGCACAAGAAAATGATCAATATGAAAGCACAAAACGTATTTCAATACATACTGTTTTAGCTGAACGTAATCCACGTTCCCATGCTGATTCAGTACCCGTTGGTGGTACTAATGGTAAACCAGCGGATTGTGTTGGACCACGCAGAGCTGGATTCGGAAAAAATTGAGATGCCTAAATAAAGAATGACTATCTAGAAATGTGTCTTGCTCATTGAAATATTGATACGTTAACTTAAATAAGCTAAGAACTGTTTCTAACAGTGTGCGCCAATGTACTGTAACTACTGAATCTAAATAATCGAATTGCAAACAAATGCACTTATGTTGAGATTTCAGCTAGAAAATGAACTCTCTACTCATTGAATAGAACATTCATGACTCAATAAACAAATTTATCACTAGTGATGAAAACCACTATATTCTCACGCGACTTTTCCCTTGTGAGTTGATAGTCAATTAGCTGACACTATACATCCCTTAGATTAATTTTCAATTCCATTCCCTTTATGAACAAAACAAAAAAAGACTCCTCCGTACAGCAGCTGCAGTTTGTGGTGAGATCCAAGTGCTAGCCGCTATGGGTGTAGGTATAGGGACAATAGCTGATGTTGGCGATACGACTTCATTGCTAGTTGCTGCTAAAGCATCAACCGATAATCCAGTGGAATCTAAACAGCAACATATATATTTATAGAAAGAACAATTGTTAATGTTTTTCATTTTTACTTTTGGTTGATTCATTATTTGGATGAATAAATTTGCAATTAGGTCCCCAATGGCAACGACCTTGAAGAAAAAATCGACATTGAACTTTAGCTTGTGGCGATGATGGTATAGCGCTATTTATTCGATTACGATTTTGTTCTGATGATTGATCATCAGATAATGATGTTCGTTGTTTTGATGTACTTGGATCATGAATTTCGCCATCTTCTAAATCGGCTTCGTCCTTTAAAAAGAAATTAAAAGATTCAGAAATTTAAAAGATGACGTTTAACTTACTAATTCTCCTTCGTCACTTGCTGTTGCTGCTGCCATTGGAGCATCATTTTCTGATGAATTAATAATATTATTATTATTTATTTCTTGTGGTTTATTTAACATTTCAACTTCTTCATCCTATAAAATAGTGAATAATGTCTTTCACTAATTTTTAAAAAAATCTTATATTTTTACTTGAATATTCTCTGATGTTTTTGTATCAACAATTATATGTTTCACCGGATTATCATTTTGTTCTACTTCTTGACCATCTTCTAATTTACCTGGTGAATGATTGTCATCAATATCTTCATAATCTAAATTTTCCGGATCATTTATGTCAGTATTAGTTGGCATTGCCAGTGAACGGCCACGTTCCTTCATACGTAATTTGGCTGTATTGGATCCTTTTGATATTGATTGATTTCCTTCATCAGTTGTATTTTCCGTATCCATTGAGATTTAGCAACAAACAATCAACTGGATTAGATGAAAAATTGCGGGTAAGTTTTTTCTTAATCTTTCCTATAAGCTTACCATGAATTGAAAAGCAAATATTTATTGAATAACCAACTTTCTTGTCTCTGAAAGAGGTGGGAAAAAACAAGATAAAATATATGTTAAAATAGAAAAATATATGTTTTTTTTTTGAATGATTTATGAAGATAAAAAGGCGTCGGAAAAGGTCTGTAGGTAAATGGGCAAATTTCCCCTTTTTTTCTCCAATCGTACAAATGCACATATATATTTTTTTATTTATTTATATAAGATGATGGACAGTTTACTTTGGTATTGATGATGACAATGGTGTAGAGACGATTTTATTGACTGAAGAATAAATCGACATAGTCGATTAGAATGATTCGCGATGGAAATTGGATAGATTATTTAAGAAAAACAAGATACGAAAAGATAAAACAAATGTTTACTAGAGAACAATGATATATCGTCGACGTCTAAGTTTCATTTTAATGTATCCATAAACGGGACTGAATACACAAGCAACGAGAAGAACTTTTCTTTTTTTTGTGAATTTTGGAATGTACGTGAATTGATCAAGTAGCCATTTATAAAATACTAATTACCCGCACGGGTGTCACGATATAATTAAGCGAAATTCTGGTTATAGATGGCGCCGGTTTATTATTTTCATCTTGACTTATTCTATTCTATTAAGAGATGAAAAGAAATTTGCCAATAAGTATGAATTCGAATAACAGATATCGTCTTTTAGTAATACGTGAATACGGTAAAGGAATACAATGATGACTTAAAACATTTTAAATGATAAAAAGATTCATTTAAATTTTTGTAGTAATGCACAGAACAATCGACACTTCGTACCGTATATCACAATCAGTAGAATTAGGATGTGCTTAAGAGACTTTTTGACACTCATACGCTTCTCAGTTAAAGTGATAAACTTAGTTCTGTGGATGTAAAGACTGCTTGTATCACTCTTTATTCAAAAATAATCTATACCTTTCAATTTTTGAACGCAAAAAGTTCGGCAAATTTATAGAGAGAACAGGAAATGATAAATATCCTCATGAGATTTATAATTACAAGAGTATACAGTTGTTGTTAACCTAAATATAGATGATGTGGATTTTAAAGAATAGCATTTGCTCTTCTTTCAAAGTCGCCTTTACCATATAGTTGATAAGTTAATTATAGTCACTCACTAAAATATATCCTACTGTAATTACACACGCGGTTGTGATACTTACAGAGAGAAAGAAAGATAGACTAATGACCTTTATTGACATCAGTTCACTGTAACATAGATAATATCCATCAGACATCGAATAAACTTTTTAATGACGTATAATATAAAAAAATATTGTTAAGCGTAGAAAAAACACAAGACAATATGACTCGGTAAAATCGCTTTCTCGTCTTCAATTTCTAGTAAATTGAAAACTTTCAATCTCCTATTTTAGATTTATATGGTACCGCAAACAGAACTCTCTTTATCTGGTTTAATCGTTTTCTATAGTATTGAATATGAATCAAAAACAAAACGATGTTCAAATTAATCGTGTATAATTTGGGTTATAAAATTTTCCATAGATGTCCTTTGTAACTAAAGCTATTTTCATGGAGCTCCATACAGTTCTCTTATTATGTTTGTGTCTTATGCAAATGATCTTGATAATTTGCTGAAAGTTATAATGCTTCTATTATGTCGTGTTATGTTTATTAATGGAAATGTATACTGTGCAGGTGCAAAATAACTTGATACTATTTCAACAACGCAAATAGATTATCTATTAATCTCTGGAACTTGCTAATTTACTTTTCGAGAAATAGCAAAGCTCTATTTTTAAATAGTTTATTTTACATTGTATAAATATCTAGTTGTTGTTAATTATTTTTTTTTACCTTCTAATTACCAAGATAGTTACTGCCATCTAAAACCGTTCTGTATGATTGAATCAGTGAGTTATAAGGTGTTTATTATTTCTGCTAGTGAAATGAAATGATGCCAACGTAGATGTGCTGAGAATGCTAGAGTAAACATTTATTCTTTCGAATCTAAATCAAGCCATCAGGTGCTTTATGAAATTTCAATTTTTCTATTTACAATCAACATCAACTTCCTAAATGGTATGCATAGAATTGGCCGAAAGAAAAAAATGTCGAAAGTGCTATAAATCGAGTTTGAGCATACGCTATCCATTTAAAAATACAACGATGGATACTCCTACAGATTGCACATATGGGATTGTTGAAAAGCTGGGTTTAAACTCTATCTATAGCATTTTCGACATTTTTTACTTTCGACGTTTTTTCTTTCGGCTAATTTTATACCATTCTCCTAAATGATTCACTACTATAACAACTCATCCGACTTACGCAATTTTTATTACACATTTGAGTAGTTCGACTGGTAACGAAAAATGAAAAACCATCGAAATTCATAAAAAGAAATAATTACATGCGGATTCAAATCTATTTCGAGAAATCTTGAACATTGTACCTTAGATCTCTCTCTCTCTCTAGTAAATACGTTGGCCTTGAAATTTAACTTTTAATTTAATCCAACAATTTAACTTTTAAATTCAATTTGAACTGCAGCCCTCTATTTTTGTTGTCAACTGTTTCGTATATTACTTTTGTTGTTCGACTCGTTACTCAGCATGTCAACTATTCCAATACCGATTAATCAAAATCTATTATCTGCGTGTAAAAAAAAACACACGAATGAATGATAATAATGTATCGAAATAGTTTTCGACGTCATTCCTAGATGTCTTCTGATGTTTCGATAAGCTCAAGTGGAAGAAGAGCAACGCATCCGTTTGGAATGTTATAAAACATGGACTTCTTATATGATTGGCTGGTTATATCTATCTAGAGATAACCTGTTGCTTTTGATTCAAAATCTACTATATAGTCTACTATCAAAACAGAACACAATGAAATATATTATCACCTTCAAATAGTAAACCTGAATATTTATTTTTCTATATTAAAATCTAATTAAAAAACGAAATCGTTATGCTTCCTGCTCATCGCTCAGCTACACAGTATAATATTGATGACCAATTAATAGTTGCCATAATTCAACACGATCTTTCAGCAGTTCGACATATCCTTGAATCCAATCGGTATAGCTCAACAATAAATCAAAGTCTTTTGTATTGCTCATACCGAGATGGTTTCAATCAACCATTAACACCCTTAGGTAGAGAATTAATTGTGATAAAAACAAAACCCCTTTTTTCCTCCATATCTATCGTCTGTTCTAGCTGCTGCTTGTCATTTTGGTTCATATGATATTGTTGATATATTAATAAATTATTTTCATGCTAACATCAATAAGCAACATCTACCTGGTTGTAAAACTCCACTTCATTATGCTGTTTTAGCAAAATCAAATCGTTCTATTATTGTTCAATATCTTCTTGGGCATGGTAAAAAGATCAAAAATATTACCTGTCTATAGTAAAATTATGGACTTTTTTCCTTTGATAAATAGGTGCGAGTGTTGATATTCAAGATCGTCATGGTACTACAGCGTTAATGTTAGCTGTCCTTCATTCTTATGATGATATAGTACATCTATTACTTGAACAAGCCGGTGCAAATGTACGCATTTACAATCAATATCATCTAACAGCATTTGATTTCGTAAAAACGAATACTTCAATTATCAATAATCTTATTCGTTATGGTACTATATCATTTAATATAAACGATAAAAAATTATTTCAATGGCTAATTATTAATAAACATATGCGTTTAGCTCGTCTATTAATCGAAGCCGGTTATACGCCACCAATCACATTATTTCAACAGCGAATACGTTCATTGAAAAGTTTATGTCGTCTAAAAATACGTTTTCAAATTTCAGGTAGTCATTTTCGACAACGTATCGAAACGCTTCCGGTGAGAAATAAACAATTAATTAAATATATTTTACTTGACGACATATAGACTAGAATTTTATTTTATTGAGTTTTTGCTTTTGCGTGTGCAATCATAATTGTTTTGTTTATTTAGTTTTTCATATTTTGAACAGATGCTAGTGTGAAAATTAAAAGAAAAAGAAAGGAAATTATTTTTATAATAATAAAATGATTAACATGACCAAAGTTTAGAATTTCAACGTTTTAATTTTATGATTTATAACTTGTTCGCTACATCAATGTATGGATATCGATATAATTTAATTCAAGGGTATTTTATAAGGTTTTTCTTTCGAGTATTTGCCGTGAAAAAAATAGTAACCTTTGATTTTTAACGTTTTTTAGGCTCCTTTATTGACTATTGACAACAACGGGGATATAATTATCGTCGATCGAATAGGAATAAAAAATGCAGAGGTGTCAATGACTAAAAGATTCGAGCACACATACCCTGTGGGAAAGTACTTTTCATTCACATGCTTAAGATTTTGGGCTCGTTTGTGATGAGTAAAAGAAATGAAAAAAAATCGATTCAATCACCTCTTAGAGTGAAGCTATTTTATATTTTCCGCGAAACAAATCATATTCAACTTTGATCCACTCAATTTGCCCTATTTTAGCACTGCAATCTTGGACAAAGACAAACTAGAGAAAAAACTCGAACGCTATTAAATAATAGGTAATATATTCAATGTGTCAAACGAAAGCTTCATAATAGCTTGTCTAATTTGATATACCTCAGTTACGATTTTTCGTCAAACTTGAATGATCAAACAGAAAAACAACATTTCAAGGTCCACCTCTATTTCGTTGCGCATAGGTATGCATACAATTTTGCCACAAATGAAAAATTACAAATGATTAATACGTATTGATAGTGACGCAAAAGAAAAGGATACAAACGAAAAAAAATTTTCTGTTTTTTCCAACAAACTCGCGCAGTCTCGTGATTCAAATCGGAACAAAAAAAAGCCCTGTCGGAAATTGAGTCTCCTCGGATTCATTTCATCATTTTCGTTTTCGTCAACGGGTCAAAGCTGAGTAGGTTTTCATTATTCATTTCACGCAATGGTGCCAACGATTCGATTCATCCGGCGTTTATCAACAAAATCATCAATCGTGAATAAATTAGTTAATGTTTTGCAATCATCGCCGTGTGAAGCAAGAGAAACAAAGCTTGCTGATTTTTTTGAAATATATAATAAACAAGTGGGAGCAGCAACTTGCTCAAATATTATTTCTGATGTCATCAATCATTTGGCTATTCAAAAGCCAGAAAAGCCAGCTCTATGGACGTTTGAGAGTAAAAGTAAAGCACATTCAGCTCTCACATATAATGAAGTCTATAAACAATCATGTCAATTGGCCAATGTTCTTACTGGTAAACAATATAATTTGAAACAGGGTCACGCTGTATGTTATCAAATTTACATAATTCATGCAAAATAATTAACTTTTTCAAATAGGTACTCGTTATTTTACCACATAATATGAAAGAACGATTTTTATTATGGTTAGCATGCCTTCAAACGGGCTTAGTGTTTTGTCCATATGACCCAAAGGAGTTAACTGAGATTGGAATTTCTCAAAGAATTCGACGGTTAATTATTGATTGTGTTATTACTGATGAAGATAATTTGGAAATGGTACGCCATTGTACTTATACTCCATTGCGACCGTTGACAAAAGGTGTTATTATGAAAGGTTCAGCTTCCGAACTGCCACCAGTTAGCTGGAATCATCTAATACAAGCTGCTAATAATGCTGATAGTCAATATACTAAAATGGTGAATACCAATCCTAATATGCCTGCCATGCGATTTCTATCAAACAAACAGCATGTTATTCAATATTCTCAAGAATACCTAAGCACTCGTTTAATAATAACAGCGTAATTTTAATTTTAATTTTAATAATACCTATTTCAATTTGATATTTAGTCTTTGGCTTAGCAAATACAAAGTTCCTAATTTAGTGTGGATGAAAAATCGAACTGATATAATGTCAATGGCTCCTTGGCTATTTGGTTCGTCGATATTTTGTAATGAATCCGAAAATTTGAAAACAATGTTCGATACATTGAAAAACTATCCGATTGATGCTTTTTGTGCACCACAAGCGAATTATAGAATGCTTGAAGATGAACAACAGCAAGAAGAACATAAAAACCAACTTCAACAATTATTTTCTTTTGAACCAATCAGTGCAGATCTGAAAGCTCAATGGCTTTCACTGACAAATCTTTCTGTTCATGATGGTAAGTTAATAAATAGTTCTTCAATTTTTATATTAGATTTTTCTTTTAATTAGATTATGCTGCTTTCAATGATGAATCTAAATTAAAATATTTTCCAAATAATGATCAACAAAAGCCAGATCATGATTTCGAAGAGTAGCTAGGTGACTTTTTTTTTCTTGTTAATTGCTTATTCTATCGTTCTTCATGCTTCTATTTAGATTTGAACAACAACAACAACAACAACAACAGCAACAAATAAACTGATTAGAGAATTGAGCGAGTTCAGACGGGAAATTCGATGCCGTCAGGCAGTCGCCAGATCATTTGCATATATTATTTTCTGTATTTCGAATTAACATTATTTACCCTTCTATCTTAAATTTTGCTTTAATGAAGCCAATTTCGTCATTTTCTAATAAACGAGAGATTTGATTAATGGTGATAAAAAAAATGTATTTTACTCACACGAGTGCTGTTGCTTAGAATTTCTTTACAATGACGAACGGCAGCTTTTTGCAGCCATTCATGTAGATATTTATTTTCAATTAAATCACGAATTGATTGTCCGCCACTGCTGATTCATTCTCTATACATGTTATCAATCGAGAAAAATGAACAATTTACGTACGCGGTGATTCGTCCATGAGTCATCTCTGATATTGAGTTTTTCTCAGAACATTTGCAATCACAAGTATTTACATGCATTTGCCGGTTTTTCATTGTTTTCCTGATAAGATAACGAAGAATATTTCAAATGAAGCAGAGATAAAAAAAAGTTTTGCAATGAAGTATTTTTCACTTTTTTCGAGTTCTCGAAAAATGACGCGGTAAAAATTCATAGAATGAGATCGACACTATCGCAAGTCGTACAAAAAGAATATTTTGTCTATTATTTAAACCTGTTTTTCACTGAAACTTGTGGATCGAGCTGTAGCAAGAGATCTGTTCTCTTTGATTTGTTCTATCTGATACGGCGACAGGCGGAAAAGAGTGAAGAATACTTGATTCCAAAACGCTTGATTGTCTATTCTACCGATATTGATGTATATCTTGTACTCTTGTAAGCCCTAATCGAACAGCATTTTTATTTATTGTGATGAAATTAGGAACACTTATTGATTTCGATATTTTCTTCATCGGTGTACAACAATGTTGTAGAGCTATTTTGCAAAAAAACGATTCTGGACAACCGAATGAAGAATCAATTGGATATTTACCTGCGGCTACACCAGTAATACCATTCTGTTGTGGATGCTTGATACCATATACGTAATTCTCAGGAGGTAAACGATAACCTCGTTTGCGTGCTTTGCACATATCGTAGTCCTGCTTTGAGATACTTCAGTTAAAGAATTTAACTAAAAATTAATACTAACTAAAATAGGACATTCATTATTGAGCAACGTTTGACAAAATGTTCGCTCATTAGATGTTGATTTTTTATGTTGACGACAAAAAAGAGTCATATTAGAAGTTTTTAGTTAAGAAGAAGTAACATATATCGTCTCCTCTTTCTCAGTATAGATTTACAGGAATCATTATAAGAAATTCTAAAACTCATAGATCGCGCTTATTTTTTCCAAAACTCTTTAAAATTTGTTACTATGTACAATTAGTATCGCACTATAGCGTAATTATCATTCAATCCTTTCCATTAATAATCCATGGTCATTAATTGCAGTCGACCTTGAACCCATCAGCATCAGCATACGTAACAATTCTCTGCCTATAAGAAAATCGTATTGATTTAAGATTAATTTCAATCACAATTTATATGCGACTTGCCATACATTTAATCTAACACATACTGGTCTTAGTCAACTTTTCATACGATCCTTCTGATCGATATATTAAAGGATATTCAATAAACAACATAAGCAAACATCCATCAACATACGTCAATATCAGCCATTAATATTTATTGATGTCGAAAACTCGATTAAACAGGTGTAATGCTTGTAAATCTTTGCCGAAAATTTTATCCTTATCGAAAACAATCCAACTATATAGAAGTAAAAGTTTACCATCATGTTTTAAATTCCCGCACGAACAATTTCCGAACAAGAAAAAAATCTCAACATTAGAAATAATGAATAAAAATAAAGCGAACCCGACGATTGGTGAATTACTCGGTGATGATGATCTATTTCACTATCATTATCAACATCAATATAGTTCATCGAGAAATAAACGTAAACGATATCATCATCGTTCATATTCTCATCGAAAACATCATCGTAAAACACAAGAATCTCGATATCAATTTTCATTATCATCTCAATACGTTGAGTCAACATCAAAACTAAATCAAATATATTCTTATCCAACAACATATAATTATACTTCATTACCTAATTACTGTTATTATTGCTATTCAAATATGTCGTCTTCTTATTGTCCTTATCTCATATCGAATTACTGCAACAACCTTCGAACATGATTATACAAAAGAAAAACAACGTATCATTTTCTTAAGTAGAGTTTATTTATTTTCAGTCGATTTATTCTCTTAGAAAAGTATTTTCTTTCGTGCTATCAACGATTTTGTTGTTGTTCACTTTCCAGCATAATTAAACAACATAGATGAGGAATAAAATTTGCATAGTAACAAAATGGTTTTCGTTGTATATCGATTGGTATTTGAGATGATTTAAGTAATTTATATATTGTTAAAAAAGCTGTTATACCAATTTGTTCTTCAACATATTGACGAATACGATCGATTTTCGTTCGACGATCGAAGTCATTGGTACGAGCAACATCAAATAATAATTGTAATGGTGAAAACATTTTCAATGATGAAGTCATATTATCGACGGATTCTAATAAACTTATTGTATCATCCATAGTTAATCTTTTATTAACATAGGGATTTTGTTGTTTTGCAAAATGGAAACTTAAACGAAGAGAAAAAGATGAAACAAGTGTTTGGAGTCAATTCTACTCACTCATGATTGTTGATTCCATTATTATGATTTATCAGTTCTTGCTCGTGAATATGATATTCGTTAATTATCGGTATATGAATACCGCCCCGTTGTTGATACTTGCGCATGAACTCGTCGAGCTGCATATCTTTCTGTCGAGATTTGTTGGACTGTAATAACGCTGTTTTAGATTCTATCAGAGTTCGTTTAGCTTTTCTTTCATCATTATTATCGCTAGATGAAGCCGATGAAGACACTGCACCATCGATGACAAATGGTCGATAGTAATTTTTCTTGGACTTAGTTCGAATGCGTTGTTGTGGCTGCTGATGCTCGTGTTCACCATCAGATGAATGTAATGATGGCGATGATGACCGTGATGATTTAACCGGTGGATTCGTTTCAATCAATCGAGTATCGATTTTATATTGGCAAGAGTTTTCATTGGATGTCGTCATTGGTAATGGTAGTTCGATAGGAGATAAGTTTGAATTATCCTTCTTAACAGATCGATTATCGGTCAGTACGCTCATATGATTACTATTATTATTGTTGGGTGTAATCTCGTCAATGTCATCTTTTTTTTCGTTTTCATATGGCGTCGATGGAATTACATTAGGATATTGATCGTTTTCGAAACTTATTGATGAATCGAGAAATCTTGGTGATGGCGATTTTTTCAATATACCTTTCAGTTGCGATTGAACAAATAGATGTTGATGAGTATCATTAGTTGATGACATAAGCTGAATTCTTCTCAATAGGCAAAAAAACTAACCTTGCATAGATATAAGCGAACAATGAATGATACAACTGTATTTTCTCTAGCAGCTCTCTCTCTCTCTACTTCCTTCAATCGTGTAATCTTTGCTGCGTAGAAGAAGATAATCAATTATCTTCTATACGCACAATAACAAACAAATCGTGTTATTGCCTCTTTTGCTTTTAACCTTGCGAGAGATTGTTTAACTTATTTCTCTCTTTCTATTAATTTATTAAAACAGGTGATTCATCTATGTCATTCAGTTTAAAATGCCATTTATTTTCTGTCCATTCCGATGAGTCGACTAGTAGATTGCTGAGAGTTTTCTCAATGAAAACGCCTGTTTGATCATTGCGAACAATTAACACAGTTGATGTTCTATTAATAGAAAAATTAGGTGAAAATAAAAACAAAAACAAGAGTTTTTCTTTTGTTTTACCGTGTTCCATAAGTTGGTTCTTCTTCTGTGGTTTTCACATGGATTGATGAAATTTGATCACGATTTGCTTTCGTATAATGAGAATAAACACAACCAAGATTTGAATCATTGTGGAAACTACATTCAATAATAATAAAAAATCCGCTTTCTATAACAAGTCAGCAACTTACAGTGTCGTATCACTCAGTAAAGAAAATGCTCGATGAATTAATTCTTTTTCATCTGTAATCGGTTTTTTGTAATGATCAGTTAAATCATTAAGAAGCGTTTTAAACAATTGACAACCAAGACGAGTCTTTTCAAATGCATTTTCATCGCCATATATATGATTGCTAAAACCGAAAGGTGCTAAAATGAAGAGAAATTTTTTTTTTTTTATGTTAAATTTTATCAACGAGAAACATAATATTAACTTACATGTTTTGATTTCAATTGGTAATGAATCTGCCGAAACATTGCTTATATATTTCGCTCGCCATTTTCTATTAGTAGAAAATCAATCGAAGTTAAAAAATCGACTAAAAACTTATGAATCTTTAAAAGAGTCAGCAGAACTTCGAATCTATTTTCATCGAACTCTCGCACAATACTCTGCATCTCGTTATTAAAGACAACATTGTTTTCTATAACGTCATAAAAGAATCGAAGGTTTCACATTAATCATTCAAGAAAATAGCCAAGTTCATTATACAAGTCTGTTTTCCATGAAAATCGACAAGATCGACATTGTATACCTTGTCAAAATACTTATTCATGATAAATAACTTCGATCTAATTAATCGTTAGTCTTCCGTATTGTAGATAAGTGTTTGTTCTCTTAGAAATAATACGAGCTTCTAGTTGGAGAAAGAAAGTGTTGGCACTAGTCGAAACTGAATCGAAGAATATTGATAGAGCCAACTTTTTTCTTAGTAATCTGTTATAATGAGTTCAAAAAGAAATAGATTAGTTTTCGACTCACTTCGACTCAATTTGTCGTTCGATTCCAAGAAAATTAAAACCGGTATAATTGACTTTAACCTTTTGCAATTCATCCATATACAAATCAAGATTAATCTCAGGATTATTAACGTAATTTGGTACAATAAAACCTCGACTCTGACCATTGATATTTTTTCCTTCGAATAAGTGCGAAGTTAAATTCAATAAAACGCCGATTTTACTTTGCACAGTATTTAAACATAGCCAAGTTCCACCTTCACGAGATGGCGTTTGATCTTGTCCTTGATAGAAATGAAAAATAATCTTTAGCTCAATTAATAAAGTAAAACTACTGCTTCGATTTATAAAGTAAAAACGAGCAAATTCGAACCTCCGAGTACATATTTCGTATCTTTCCAAATATGAGCTTGTTTAGCTGGTCGTCGAAAATCTTCATCACGATTTGATAATAATATTAAATTATATCCGATATCAATGTTATTGTCTTGTAAATAACAGAAAAGAATACACATGATCTCAAAATACACACAAAGCTTATAAGAAAGAAGATAACTGTTAAGTCGATAAATTCCCGATGCGTGTATCTTTTGAAGCACACATGAAGAATAAAAAATATATCTTCACTTTTACAAAGAAGACAAAAAAAAAGAAAAAAAAGAACTGTACACTTGAGAAACAGTGTTATCAACTTGTTGAAAAATGAAAGACGACTAATCATCCTTATATAAATAGTTTAACAAATGACAAAGAACAGAAGAGCACCCATATGTTTATACAGATCGTTAAAGTTTTATTTTTTCTTGTATTTATTTTGTCATGAATGATTTTTACTTGATGATGATGTCCCACTATATTCTATGCCGCGGCATGCTGAGGAAAATGTATTTACATGATCTTTGAAATTTGCACGACTTGTACGTTCACTAAATTGACAAAAGAAATTGAAAGAAACGTACGAGAAAATAAAAATAAAATACATACGATGATAATGCTTTGATTAATGCTTCACGATGATGACGTTTAGGAGATGGCGTAGGAAAATTTGGATCATTTAAACATTGCTGAACCCAATTGACTGTAGAATCAATATATAATTTTGTCAGAGTAAGCAATGGTAATGATAATGTATCAACCAAATGGCGCGGACTTGCTCCACCAATGCACTAAAATTTCAACATTTTATTTAACAAGCAGGTAAACGTGTTGATAATGCTCAAGAGAATTCAATGAACGATGTATTTACTTGCGAAAAATAGGTAATGGCCTGTTTTTAATGCCTGGATAGAGTCATAGTGAAAAATCTTTGATAAACTACTTATTCGAAACTAGATGTCAATAAATAGCAATTTCGATATTTAAAAAGTCGTTTCACAGATCATATTGGCTCACAACAAGCATCTTTCAACTGATAGATGATCGCTTTCAATTACATGAAGTGCTCATAGATGTTGAGAAATATTTCATCTTTCGTTCAAAAATGCAGCTGTAGCCTACTGGTGTATCATTTGGTATTCTTATTTCGGAATAGGAACAAATCTAAAGATTTGAAACGTCCAAAACTCACTACGCATCATAAAAGATTCGAGAATCAGCTTTTCTTTTGTTCTTGAAAAGACCACAGTATACATTATCATATTGCCATAAATCCACAATGATCAGCTACGGGCACATATTCTTTACGAACAATTCATAGCTCATTTGGCAGATATAATCTCGACTAAAAAGCGATTTATCACTGAGACGACTTTGCTCCTTCGAAGAAGCCTTGTCAGCTGTAATTCTATCATCACTTTGCTTATTGTACTTGTTTTTTTCCACGCATTTTGCTCTCTTCGTCTTCATTTGTAACATGCTGCTGTTGACAGTAACTATAAATTTGCTATTTGGTCAGCCCATCTTATCAAGAAGTTTTCTCATATCTTATTTTACTATCTAGTTTTTCTTTGCTGATTCATGTTTTAAAATGCGTCTAGTTTTCAAAAAGGATGTATTAGCCATTTAATCAGACCTTCGATTTCGTATGATTGATGCCAATGAAATTCTATTGAATAGCGCAAGATACTTTTCCCCTCTTAATCTTCATATTCAACACACGTGATCAGTTTCGCTTTTCTTGAACATGTCTATGGGATTCTTTAGAATACACGATAGAAAATTTTCGAAAATAGAGTAAGGCGAAATGCAAGTAACTCAATTCTTTCCTCGATCAAAACTTCCGTTCAGTTAAAACCTACCTTAAGAAGAATCTGAACTATTTCGAGACCATTTTGTTTTAGAAGATCAGCTGCTCGTTGATTTGATTTTGTATATTCAATATAATTGGACTAAAATAACAAATAACAAAGAAAAACAATTAGTTCAAAATAGCAAAACCTTTATTTTCGATCATATTACCGTAAACATCGTAATACTTCTTAATGTTGTTTGTTCATGCAATTGAAGACCAGTTTTAACTGAAAATATATACAAGAATATAGAATAACAGTTGTGATTAAATATTGAACTTACCGAATTGAAAAAGTAAAACAAAAGCCTCATTAGGACAATGATGTACAACAGCTGGCAGCTTTTTAATAATCTAAATGACAAAAATTTAAACGCAAATTCTTCGATAAACTTTATTTTACTTGAATAAGAAAATTAGCAAAATCTTCTACAATATCAACATGATTTTTTAACCATTGAATATCTAAATAAATGGAAAATCTATAAGAAAAGCAAACGAAAAAAGCAAACGGAATAAATATATTCAAACCTCCGTTAAACAAGCATCCAAATCTTTGAAGAACAGCAAGAAATAAATTAAACATTTGTTTATCTGTATCTTGTGAGAAAAGAAGAAGAGTCTAAAAGAATAAGCAGGGCTACATTATGAGTTATTCAATGAAGCTCAACATACGTTGCGAACAAAATTTAAAAATTGTGCGTGTAATATATTTGGCCCAATATTTTGTAAAAGTTCTAAAAGTGTATTTAGTATTGGATTGATTGACTCTCTTAATGTTGTTACTGTTCGAGAAAGAATTTCACATAATTTCTTTGAATTAAAAAAGAACGTTCAATAAATAAGTGAAGAAGAAATATTTTCGATTTATCCTTACTTCTGTTACTTCACTATCATCGGCATACTGCTTGAGAACCAAATGAAGAATTGGAGTAAGATCTCGTAAAACACAACATAACTATAAAAACGGAAAAAAACAATAAGGCGGGTTTATTCATGAGGAATGTTGTTTTAGTCCGTTCAAGAGAATTTGTGTCATATTAAGAGATTACAAAAGAATGGCAGATGTATAAAAAGCTCACCAGGTTAGTTCTGAGAAATGTCAATATTGTATGAGACCTGTTTAGTATAGAAGTCGAATAGACTGTTACATACATCAAGGAGCCTTCTAAACATTTGGCAATGACTTTGAATTGGAACTCTGCGCGTGAATTGAATCTTGCCTACAAAGCTGTAATGATTTTTAGTAAACTTACGACCGGTAACTGTTATACGGAAACTTTCTAATACCTTATGAAGTCGGAACCTAAAATTGTAAAGATTCTCTTTTCAAACTAAAAGTTCCCTGGAAGCAAAAAAACATATATTCTCAATATCAAAATCGATTTAGGCCTTTTATTTTACATATATCCAATTTTAAACTAGTCATTTTGAAAAAATCTCCATATCATACCACTTCAGGTATTTCGCTGGGATTTTCGGTTGCTTCTTGTTGCTGTTCATTTTCATCGCCATCACTCTGATCACCACAATAACCAATAGCAGTAATAAGAACAGAAATAAAACTTAATGTCGTACAAATATTTTGTTTTCGTAATATTGCGTTCTAGAAATATTTCCATAGAATTCATAGGAATAGAAGTTTATTTTTCATAAAAATATATATATATATATATTTCTACCTGATCACCATTTGTTTCTGATAAATAAGCTAGTAATTTATTAACTTCTGGCGCTAGTAATATATTTAAATGATCGATCACAATTTTTGCTGGATATGCTGATAGAATATAACCGATAATAGCTACACAACGAATACGATCATTTGGTTGCACATGAGCATTCTCAAGAACATTCTATAAAACAATAGAAATTAAAGTTTTTTGTTACTAAAGTTTAATTTTCTACTTTAATTATTGGAAATATATCATTAAGATATTTTGACATATGCATCCGATTTTCCATAGTGAGCTCTTTTAAAGCAATAGAAGCTGATTGAATTAATTCAGAATTTGACAAAGCATTAATACATAGATGTACACAATTTTGCAGTGTTTCCTGATGATGACCTAACCAACTACTATATTGTCCTAGAGAGAGAGATAGAGAAAAAAAACAAGTATATATTGAAAAAATAAATATGTAATTCAAATCTACATACCCAGCACCATTAGAGTTGCATTTATAATTGAACTATTACAAAAATTTAATTTTGGTAAAAGTAAAAATATTCGTGGTAAAATTTGATTTTCATCTAGTGGAACATATTCTGAACCGGCGCCAACTAATTGAATTATTGATTCTTGTCGCTAATAATAGAACAAAAGAAAAAAAAAGCAGATCACAATTAGATTCAATCAACAATACAAACCTGCCACGATTGATTTTGTTCAACAGCTAATGATAAATGATTTGCTAATACTAAAATATTGATAAAAATGAGAAATTATTTGCAGTAAAAATGAATCTTTATTTATTAACAAATTTTTCGATTTATGAAATTGAAAAAATCTCTTATTTACCTTCCATAGCTCGATTACTAAGAACAGTATGCATACACATCTAGAAGTCAAAAGCTCATATATTTGCATTCTAATACATTTTTCTTCTTTACCATTGTATCTGTTATATCAACACGATAACATCGAAATGTTTCTTTGTCTTCACTTGTAAAACTGCTATCATTTTCTGGAAGTTGTCCTTTAGAAATCAATACTTCAATTAAACGTTCAAAGTATGGACGAAATAATCCTAATAAAATGATTCGCTGTTCCTCATCATCAATTGAAGTAACTTCTTCCTAATAACAAATAAAGACAAGATTATCGAGTAAAAGAAAAACCGAATTCAATCTATTGAATTTTACCTGCAATGCATACCAAAAACTAAATGTTAATTCTGAACATGTTTCTTCAACGGGATATTGTCCTTTCATGTCAGTACATTTCTTAAATAGGAAAAGAAATTTGATGAAGAAAATAAAACAACTGAATGTTTACCATAATCAGACAACAGAATCTATGGGAAAGTGTTTGTGATTGTTGATTAGGTGCAATAGCCATCTGAATAATAAGTTGAGCAAGGTTTTCACCAAATTGAGTTATCAATTTTGTTATACATTCTGATTTTTCCTTAAAAAATTAAAAAGACTAAACATAAAATTTCTATCTGTATAAAAGTTTTTCAATCATACTTTATCGCCAATCATTAAGGATTGGTCAAGAATGGATTCAAGTTGTAAAACATATGGAAAAAGACGTGAAAATATGGCTGGATACCTAAATCATATAGAACTAGATCTATGAAAGAATTCTAAATGAAGCAAAAAAACAAGAAGTTTACCTCATTACATCCGGTGATGTAAAAAGTACAATAATACAATTCGAAGCATCATCAAATATATTTTCATTATTTAAAGAATTAAATAAATAATCAAACAACGATTCAACTCTAATAATTGCTATACCGAATTCAAGCCATTTTGATAAACATGAAAACATTTTGGCAAGTATATCTGGTTGATTATATGCAGAAATAATAAATTGAATATAATTGAGAACTGAAATTTATGTTTCAAATGTAGAAATTAGTATTTTTTTTGAAAATTCGTCAAATTTTTATTAAAATTACCAACAGGGAATTGATTTTCGAGTTCGGTTCGAATTGATGCACGTTGAACTTTAGACACAACAATACGCGAAAACTAAAAAACAAGAGATTATTTTTCCAATTTAGCATTTAACGAAAGCTCCGATGAAAGTATTTCAATTGATGTCTATTGGACAATTTAATGGTACCTATTGAGCGTTACAATCTTTATTAAAAGCAAATGCTTTCTGATTGAGATATCCAATTTTAAGAACATTTTTTTCTAATTTCAAGATAGAAACATGTGCTTTTGAATCGAGTGCGTGTGGATACAATTTCCGGTTCTAATCTCTTTATTTAAGTTGAGTACTGTTATAAACGAAGGCCAAATATTTGACCAAAAATTGAATACTAGTTTTCTTGTCAGAAATTTTCATGAAAAATATGTCTCGTGACAAGTAATGCGTACAATAAAAGTATGACTGCAAACTATTGCGTTCTTGTAATGACTGAAGACCGACATGTGTAGCGAAAATTTGCCTTTTAAATTTAATTATACAGATTTCAGTTTGATATCGAAATTAACACAGCTGGATCGTGAATATCTCCTGTCTATGATTCTAATGAGAATTTTTATTTTTAAGGTCGGAAATATTAGTGTGATGTATATCTTTTGATTTATTTAAAATACAAAATCTTTGGCACGATAACAATTCAGATAAAACTAAAGTGTTTAGATAGAGAATAAAATGCACCCGAGCACCCACTTACGTCTTATGATATATATATATTATCAAAAATTCAAAAGATATGAATAATTAGAGCTTTCAAACATGCCTTTTTTCCTGATTTCAACAGTTTTAGTAAAGCTAATAAGGAATATTCAAATAAAATTAGCCTTTCACAGCGTATCGCGTATCGATAAAATAGTGAATGATGATCGAATAGGATCATACTTTCATCAATCAGTCAGTTTTCTGCTTGATTAAGGTTAATTATTAACTTCAATCATACAATTACGATCAACATGTCATATTTTATCGATATGAACAATCATTATCCGACTTTGTGGAAAATTAATTTTCAATAGGATCGTATTTGTATAATCATAGGCAGAATAAATTTCTTATTTCTGGCACATGGCAATTGCTCTGAATGAAAGATACTTCGAAATCCCTGTAGTCATCTTTACTCTGACATTATAGATCAGCTTTTTTTATATAAATTAAGCCTTATGCTGTCTGAAAGGGTAAGTTTTTCTTCGGTATTATATTACTATCATGTCGAGAAGAAAAAATGACGCAACATATCAACTAGTAGACGGGATTTTTTTTTAAATAAAAGAATGTCAATAAATGTATATCGTAGACTGATACAATATATGACTCTCTCCACTTATATTAGCTTAGTAAATAAGTGGGACAGAATATTTTTTAGTTTAAAAAGTTTTTCCGTTCTATTTTTACTAGTCTATCAATTCACTGGTTACAATAGAAACTCGATGACCTATTCAAGTATAATCCGAACCGACATTGATGAGCCAATTAATTATCATTGTAAAGAATAGGAAGTGCTGATACACTGGTCAGGGGTACAGCTACTGCACAATATCGAGATGAGATAGAAATTAGAGATTTTTCGAATGCGTCTAACAGATGAAACTTTAATCAATTATAGCCAATCGCTGATACGAGACAAAATTGAGTTTAGGCAAATAAAAACATTTCTTCTTTATATTCAAAATTTCATATGCAAAAATTTGAGTAGTAGTAGTAGTATTAAAAATGAATTATCGATTGTATGCATAAAGCTTAAACAACCGTACTCGAGCGCTTTTTAATATCTCACTATATGCTCGTTCTTTGTAGAAAAAAAAACGCATTTCATTCGTATGCTCATATATCCAACGTAATTGCTCATTAAGACTAAAGGTTTATTATCTTGAGATTTCGTTCAAAATGTCTTGTCAAATAGATTCGGTATTTTTCTATGATTATCTTCGTTTTTATTATCATCAATATTCTTCGATTACTAACACGTCGGATGACTGCCAAGTATAATTCCTAACAAGAACCCATAAATAAACTTCTTATTGAATGTAATGAAAGAGAACTATCGGCATAGACATTGCTAATGCGGACAAAGTGTACGATAAGAAAAAAAAGGTACAAACCAATTGTAAAAGGACATTCTAATGACTATATAAATATATATATATATATATATATCCATTATCGCGCCAAGGTCAAAAGAAATGCACTGACAAAGACAGTAGCAGATGCTTTGTCTTTTTCTTTTTAATCTTCATATTGACAAAAGCTAAAGAAACTTACTTCTTCAGGAAGAATAGTTAAAATATTTAAAACAATTAAATGTCCTTTTTCTGGCTAGAAAGCATAAAACAAACAAAAGAATCAATTAAAGAATATTTCTCAAGTAATTAACATACATATTCTTTTAAAAATTCATTTTGAGATTGTGTAAATAATGTAATTATTGCTGTTATACCATTCTTCCATTTATCTGGCATCATATTTAATATCAAATGTCCCAGCTAAAATAAATATTTCAATCGATTACGGAAAATAAAGAAATCTATCTTCACTTACAGCCACAACTAATTTAATTGAAATCTGTTTTGAATTAATTGACGTGTAAAATATTAAGCGTTGAATAAGTTGTTGAAATAATAACTGAATTTCATTGTCATCTAATTCCGATCTAAGAAAATATTTACATCGTTCGTTATATTAAGTAAAAAGCAATAGAATAAATCTATCTTACAAATGCTTCGAAATTTTATTACATAAAGCAACAGCTCCAAAAAATTGTACACTTGGTGATTTATTTGTATTTAATAATTTCCAAGAAAAATCCCAGGCTAATGGAGAATATTGTAAACATTCAAGAATACTATTTAATTGTTGACGTTGTGGAACAGTTAATTGCGATGTTGGCGAATAAAAATCATTGATTATACGTTCTAATTGATGCGTTTATATTTTTATGGAAACTGAAAAACATCAAAATAGATAACTCACCGATTTCTTCGACGGAATAATTTGTAACGGAAACATTTTTTGGATCATTTCCATTCATAATATTTGTTGAAGTATTAAACGTTGTTTGAGATGCCATCAGCATGGCGATTAAAAAGCAAAGTGGTTTTTATTTTTTCTATAACAAAGCAAGGGAAAGTTTGAAGATTATAAATTTTTCGTTGATGATAAATAGCTTGAATTAAACATTCGATCGGTTGATAAACTCTTTATTCAGCTGTTATTTGTTTTCTTTTTTTCCTCTTTCGATTCGGTGACTATCGCCATACGTTTGTGTTCTTATGCAATCATAAACACAAGTACGATGTCACTAGTCCACACTGGAACGTTTAACGATAAAGAGACGAGTGAACCGTATTTTCACAAGAACATGTCGCATGTAAATCAATATAATTATAAACACATTTTATTAGAGAAAATTGTTCAATTTGTTAAAGTCAATAATTCAACATGTGCAATAAGAAAATAAAAGTGCCAAAAAAAACATAGAAAGTAGGACATTAGCCAATGCCACTTGACGAGGTATTCTTCATAAGTTAATTTTTGGTGTTGTGAATAAAAGATTTTTTTTTCTTTCTTTCCAAGAATTCTTTTTATTTCAGATTTAAGCGTGTATTTTGGCTTCAATTACAACAGAACGAATAAAAATAACTATATATATATATTTAGAAAGGATGAAGTAAAATGTTATATGAGAGTGTGTTTTGTATAGAAATGAGATAAAATCTAGCGTATCTTCTAAAGAATTTTTGCTGTTGTTTTGCTTAAACAGCAAAAGATATGATATTTATATATTGAAATTTGAGTATAAATGGGTAAATATATGCTTTACTTATTTCAATAGTTGCATTAGGCTGCACTTGATTTTCTAACCAAATCAAAAACCCTTTAGTGAAAAAAGGTAGTCGACGTATGGAAACCCTGTCAAGCTTGGCATTTTCACGGGTAATAAAAAAATAGAATGATAGATCCTTGAGGTACTTCATCCAATGCAGCTAAAATAATAATATTATTGGTGAATTAGATTTGAGTTTGTTTGAGAGCATTTGTTCATTAGACATAGACATTAATTCATTTAGTGTATCTCTGCCAAAACATAAGCGAACATTCGATACTCTTATTCATAGTATTAATCATTGAGCGTTATCTTACTAATAGCCTACATACATTAGCAATCGTTTTAGCACTTTAAAATAGAAGAATGAATAACACAAATGACGACAAAAATGATTCTTTTTCAACGATAACTGTTGAGACCTTTTCTTTATAACAACCATAAAAATGAAATTCTAATGTATTCTCTGTAGGATAAAAATAATGCAAACCATTGTGTATATCTAAGGTAGTAATGCCATGATGAGATGCACGGCGCATCGCTGTCGAAATTTATGAAATGTTTGGTTAAAAAAATGTACTTTGAGAAATAGCATTGGATATATCATCAATTGATTGTTCAAGTTACAGTATTTATGTCTTCCGTTCGATGGTAATGAAACACTTTCCTACTAATGCCTGCTGGTACTCACCCGTGTATCACTAAAATAGGTCATTTTTTACTAATTTGATAAAGGAAAACGAGCTGGAACATAATAATCTATCTATTCACTTGCGTAGTGTGATCATATGTTACCAGTTCTTTTATTGACCAAGACGAGTGTCCGGCAATATTCTGTTTCTTTTTTTTTGTCAGAGAGAGAGATCGGATTACTTGAATGAAACTATTTACTTTTACAATTTAAGCGCAAGTACTAATCACTATCACAACAGATAGAAAAATATCTGATACAAAATCAGTACTTGTGTCAGTGACAATTAAACTAAATATAACATAGCAGAATCTCTGACCATGCAGTTTGAGAAAGCGACCGAATATAATTGCAATGTTAAAATTTTTTCTTTAAATGTCTATCTGTGCTAAAGATGAAATTCCGATGGGTTTTGAATTACACGGAAGAGTCTGTATGGTTACAATTATAAAAATGATTTTCAAGGAAAGTAAATTTACCTACAGTGAATATTCGGAATTTTTCGTGAAAATTCAATTATCTTAGCCCCCCCTATGGTGAATTTCACACTTACCACCATTGAAGCCCGGTAATTTCTTTTTTATTCTTTGATAAACAACCGTCATGTGATTTTTCCATCTTGACATTTAAAGGGTAATGTGGGCAAAAAGGATTATATTTTTTTCCTGTTGACTTTTATTTTCATAGTCAATTGGACATTACCCACCAGAAGCCTCTATATTATGAATATAAATTATATAGTGCAATCTATCTGTATGACGAACTGAATCAGAACAATTTACGTACTATGCGTAACCATTTGTTATTCAGTATTTTATAAGTAAACCAATAATGTTTTATTTTACTTTATAGATGTCTCATCCATGTGCTGTTGCTAATTGTCAACGTAGTTCTCGTGCTTTATGTCATTGTTGCCAACAAAATATTTGTAGAGATCATTTGATCGAACATGACGATCTACTGAATAGCCGACTCAATCCAATAGTAGATGAAATCAATCAACTTAATGATCGACTTAATCATATCAATTTGAAAGATGCTTTAGTGGATACTCATGAGCAACTAGAGAATTGGCGTCGTAAATCTTATCGAGCAATAGACGAATTTATTAATGAGCAAAGCTGTATAATTTACGAAAGTATGCAGTCAAAACTAGAAAACATATCTGATGGCATAATTCATTTGAAAACGCTCGTTGGTCAACTCATTAGAAAACAAGATACGACTATTGACAATTTAAATACTCTAGGATTAAATATACAATCTATTCAAAGAGAAATTATTGAAATAGAAAATAAATCTATTGGTTTGAGTTTAACACCATTGACAATAGATCGTAACATCATACAAATGCAAGAGACGGGTGTAAAATATGATATCAATTTAGAGAATTTAATGCCTGCAATACATGTGATTAATCGTTCTGCAGAAAGTCATAAACCTCTTGCGTCCAATAATAAAGTTTTATTGATGCATCATGATCATCGATTGTCCATATTGAATCACGAACTAACATTAGTTAAATCTATTCCTTGGCCTCATAATTGGATATGGGATATGTGTTGGTCATCAACTTTGTCTCAATTTTTGATCATAACACTAGGTGAAATATTCTCGTTAGATGAAAATACGATGTCTCTTGAATGTATACAAACAAAAGATCAATATTCTTTATCTGCATGTACATGTTCAGATAAATCATTGTATCTAGCAAGTAACGTGTTAGGATCAAGTGTATACGAATTGAGTTTACTACCAGATATTAAATTAGTTAATCAATATCAATCTAAAGATTTATGTGACACTGATGAAACAATTCATGACATGATTTTTCATAAAGGAACATTAGCTTTTATCATCGGAAATTTTACAAGTCATAGGAAACATATGGCACTTCGGTCTTCGCAAACGTTTGAACTAATATGGAGCATTCAATTTGATACTGTTGATCCTATGCATAATATATATCGCGTTGGCTTGTTTAATTATAATGAATGGCTAGTAATTGATTGGAAAACGTCGGAAATTTTTCATATTTCAAAAGATGGACAATTGAAATCAAAATTAACTTATGATCAAGTGCCATACCGTAGCTGTCAGTTCGGACCAAATACGTTAGTTATATCGGCGAAAAACAGTGTTAACTTTCATAAAATGTAATATCTAAGTGAATGTGTCCAAGGCGCTCACGGTCAGTAAGATCCTGTCGGATTTATAAAATGCCGATCGGTTCCCGCCGATAGTTGCCGGAATCCTTGCTCCCGGAAACCGACTCCCGGATATCACAGGATTCCGATCAAATCTGTAACGGCATCCGCGAGCAAGGATTGAGTGACGTGGGTGGATGTGTTTTAACTTGGTCGAAATTGCTTAAGAATTGCCGTATTTATTTAAAATTAGTACCTTTACGCTTTTGAACAATCATCATGTGAACATCTTATCAGTAGTTTTATCGAATAAATACTTCTATGTTTGATAATTTCATATTTTTCTGAACTAGAGAATCGACGAAGAAGATAATATAACTGTTTATCAGTAAGAATAGTCATTCATAATGTACACACACTCAGCGATTGATTTATCATAACAAGATGAACACTATTATCTATGATTCGTTCTTATGATAGACGATAAAATAACTTGAGAGTCACTTTGATATTCATGAGTAGAATTTTAAAAAATTAATTGCCGTACGGTTACAGAACGTCATAAAATACGATATTTGCCTGTAACATGGAGAAAAGGAAAAAGGATATTTCCCAACTTTCATTAATATACCAATTTAACGATAAGAGAAATATTTTCTCTGATTCTGTCATAGCTTCGTGGTTTTTCCAACTTATACCGGCCAAGATTACAAATCTTACATTTAAAGTGCAAAAACAAACTTCATTTTTTTCTTCCGACCCTTCAAGAAATAGAGATGATAAGATTTTTTTGTTTGGTTTTTTCTTTTTGAAAATTCATTTCAATTTTCTAATAAAGTTACATTGAAATCAGGTGGAAAAGCATAGAAAATTAGATGTTCTAGTCTCCATCCAGGTAAATCGTCTTCTGTTAAATCACCCATTCGAAAATATGATCGACGTGGTTCACTAACATCTTCTGTACCATAATTAATTTTATTCCAATATCTTCGTACAGGTTTTAATAAACTTGAATTCATCGATGTTTTATAAGCATAGAAAATGATTCCATCATATTGCCATTGATTATTTCCAATCGGTAATAATTTTGATTCAGTCTGTAACGTATTTAACCAAATGTCTTTTGATTCCGAATGAAAACCATGAATTGGAATTGTATCAGGTTTCGCTTGAGTATATGCTTGACAAAGAATACCATCAAATATCCACCCATCACCCATCCGACTGCCAACCGTATGATACCAATAACGAGTTTGATGAGTTTCAGGATCTGTATATTTCCATTGTGCAATTTGAGTTAAACTAAAATGCGTCGAGAAAATTCGCGTTCTAAATTTAAAAAATAGCGAAATACAAAAAAGAGAAACTTTACTGTTTTCTATGGATACGAAAAGCTTCTCGTACAGGTTCCATGGTTGTTGAAGGTAGTAGTTTATTTTCATGGATGAATGTTTTATTTGAATCGATGACTGTTAATTGATTTTCTAGAAGATATTTATCAATTAATTTCGATTCAATCGCCGATTGTGTTGTATTAAAAGCATGTTTCGAAGTTAACCGTTCAGAAGACTCAGAACGATTGTCGGTATCAATTGAAAACGGATCACCAGGCGCAATACTGAATGCACCTAAAGTTCAAATTGCATAGAATATTCTTAATGCTATGTCTATACCTGAGATAATAACGAAGAGTACAGGTAGAACAATGTGGAAACAACGATGCATAGTTGATATATACGTTCTATCATAAGGTCAGGCGAGTGATATGAACGTTTTGTCTGTTTATCTCTTCGTATATATGTATCGAACGAATTGTATGTTCGGCTTTTTTTTCTCTTTCTTTGATCATTGAGTGGATGAGCAAGACAATCGTATTAGTATTCAACATGTTTTATTTTTTATTTCAACACAAACAAACAAATATCTATCTACTTCAATATCCAATGGGTAATACATAAAAAAGTACTTTATCAAATGACCATTCTAATCGGCTGTCAATATCTTCATCTTGTGTTTTAATTGTCAGATATGTCACACGTGTTTCAGTCGCATCCGTGGCGCCTGATTTCAGTTTATTCCAATATCGTGAGACAGGTTGAAGTTCAGTTGAATTCATTGGTGTTTTATAAGCATAAAATAGAAGACCGTCTGACACCCATTGATCATCTCCAATAATCGGTGGTCTTGGATCCATTTGTATTGTGTTGGTCCAAGCAGCTCGAATTTCGGAATGAAATGCATAGACCGGTTCAGTATCAGTTGCTGAATTGTTATAAGCTTGAAATATAAATCTATCGAATTTCCATCCAGCACCCATACGACCACCTTCAAGTTGATACCAGTAACGAGCTTCTTTTGTTTTTGGATCTATGTATCTCCATCGACCAATTCTAATTAAACTTGCAATTGAATGAAAAACGATGTCAGATAAATTTATCAAAAACAAAAGAAAAATTTCTTACTCCTTTTGACTGAATGATTTTACAGGTAATGCTGTTGATGTTTCCCGTAATAATGTTGTGCTTTTATCGATCATATTATCATAGGGTTGAGATGTAGTAGTAGTTACGGTAGTAGTAGTTGTAGTAGTAGTAGTTGTTGTTATTGTTGTAATACTTTTTGTTGTTAACAACGGTGACTTTCCAGTAGAAAGTCTTCGTCCAAAATCATTCTTATGAAACTGCGCTGTTTGTGTAGTTTTTGTAGATGTTGAGACAGCATAGTCCATGAACTCGTCTATGTCATTTGCAGAATCGAATGGATCAGTCAATGAATCTGATATTGGTCCAAATCCACGGTCATTTGGACTTTCAATTTCATTAGCATTGATTAAATCTTCAGATGTAAGAAGTCTTGATTTGATGCGATCCACTGGAAAAGGATCGCCAGGATGAACGCTAAAACCACCTATGATTCAACGCAATAAAAGCAAATATTAGAATAAAACTTATTTTTTATTAATTTTTACGTTGAAAAATCATAGCAAGCACAATAAGGTAGAGAAAAAAATACATTGTTGTCTTGTGTTATAGGAACGATGAATGATGTTAACTGAATCGATTCGGCGAAGATAAATTTTTTCATTCTTTTTTTCTTTTTCTTTTTTTTGTTATCATATAGCGCGTTCAATCATTTCGTGTGATTGCTGCCCTTGTTATTTTCATTACTTAAGAGTAAATAATACTAAAATAAGTAAACTACCAAAAAAAAAAAAATACGAAAATCTTTAGCAAGACGTCAAATATTTCTAATAAACCTTCGAAACTACTTTCTACTATCGATTCAGTAATAAAGTCAAAGAAAAATAATGGCATCGGTTTTCAATTTTCGCATTGTCAAACGAGCGAAAATTGCTTTTCGTCTATGAAATCAAACGTTCGATGGTCTTCTTGACAATGACGCTCTGCATGAAACATAATCTAAAAATCATAATGAATACAATCTCTATAGATTCCTTGTAGGAGCTATAAGAGAAACTCCTGCCATATCGATAACAATTTCTATAGACATCTGTCGCTTTCACTATTGATTCGTTCTTCGATCCATCGACAATCCATAACAATCTAGAGTCGTGTGTGCACTCAAACTAATATTATTTTTCATTATATTTAATATATTTTCTTAATTATCGATATTAGATTTTTGTTTTATATTCTAGTATGTCATCTGCAGTATTATGTCGACTTGCCAAAACATGTCGTCCAACATTAGCAATTTATCATGGACGCAATTTTGCTACTAGTTCATCGGTTGAAACGAACAGTTGTAGCACTGATACGACGACACCATCGTCCAATAATCGGCGAACAGTTACTTTGATACCAGGTAAATAAAATATTCTTTATAGATTTTACTGAAAAATATTTATTAAAAAATAGGTGATGGAATTGGTCCGGAAATCTCACGAAGTGTTCAACAAATATTTGATGCTGCAGATGTACCAATAAATTGGGAGGCTGTTGATGTTACACCTGTTAAGGCGGTATGAAAATAGTTTCAACGATTTTCTTTTGATTCGATTTTTTCCCTGGTTTCAGCCTGATGGTAAATTTCGAATTCCTAGTCATGCTATTGAATCAGTAACAAAAAATCGTATTGGACTTAAAGGCCCATTAGCAACACGTAAGAGAATAATTTTATCGAATGATAAAAATATTTTAGTTTTATGCTTCTAGCTGTTGGCAAGGGACATCAATCACTTAATCTTGCTTTACGTAAACAATTTAATTTATTTGCTAATGTCAGACCATGTAAAAGTATTCAAGGTTAGTTTCATGATTTTCTTTTAGGTCGAAAGGGAATTTATTTTCAATTTATTTAGGTTATCAAACACCATATACAAATGTTGATCTTGTTACAATACGTGAAAATACTGAAGGAGAATATTCAGGTATTGAACATACTATTGTGCCAGGTGTTGTACAAAGTATTAAACTTATTACTCAACATGCATCATTACGTGTATGTGAATATGCATTTCTCTATGCTAAACAACATAAACGAGAAAAAGTAACAGTTGTTCATAAAGCAAATATAATGTAAGACGCGTCTATAATTATTATTGAAACCATTTATTTGTGTTTTGGAATAAATTTAGGCGACTTTCAGATGGTTTATTTCTTCAATGTGCACGGGAAGTTGCTGAAAAATATCCTGAAGTTCAATTTGAAGAAATGTATCTTGATACAGTTTGTTTAAAGGTTTGTTTGTAGTGATTAGAAATAGATTGAATAGAAATTTTGTTTTTCCTTTGAAATAGATGGTTCAAGATCCAACACAATTTGATTGTCTCGTTATGCCAAATTTATATGGAGATATTCTAAGTGATCTCTGTGCTGGTCTTATTGGTGGATTAGGTCTGACACCTAGTGGAAATATTGGTGAAAATGGAGCAGCCATTTTTGAAGCTGTTCATGGTACAGCACCTGATATTGCTGGACAAGATAAAGCTAATCCAACAGCATTACTTTTAAGTGGCGTTATGATGTTACGTCATTTACAAATGTTTGATAAAGCCGAACGTATTGAAAGAGCTTGTTTTGATACAATTAAAGATGGAAAGGTACATCATAGGGAGAACACTACGATTTTATCATAGTTGTGATTACGTGAAAAGTCAAGCTCGAAGATGTGTGGAATTCTTAGAAATACTAGTAGTGAATTATTCATAATCCGCGTTCGTTACATTTCATAGCGATTTCTGCAATAGATGAACATTGTTGAGAGATATATAATAGACGAAGCTTCTGTCGTCACCAATCATATAAAGTATCGTAGAAGATACACCATTGAGTTTTATAAATACGTATAATTGTTTCGAAGTATGTCAATCCTCTATATTGCTTTATTGAATAAGAAATACAATTGGTATTTAACCGGTAAGCTGTCAGAATTCTGCAACTTATGAAGAATAAATTTATTCACCGTTAGAAATTTCCTTCTCTTTTTTTTTTACTATGAAACAAAGACATTACGAAATATTTTTCTCTAAACAGGAATAAACCATAGAAAAGTAAGAATCACCAAAACAATCTGGTTCCGAATTTTTCTAGTCTAGAGTGTAAATTTATCGACTAATATCTGATACCTTCTGTGTACATGAGTTAGCAGAAAATGACTTTTTTTAGCCCTTTATCAATTACTCATAAATCAATGAATGCAATATTGTTCTTTTTTTCTATTTAGACACTTACGGGCGATTTGGGTGGTAAATCAAAATGTTCAGAATATACTGGTGAAATTTGCAAACGTATAAAAAATTGATCGTGATTTCATACAGCTCATAATATCTAGTCAATAATCTAGCTTTTAGTCATTTCATGCGTGTTTTTGTTTATCGAAAGGAAGAAATCTCTTTTTTTTCTTTTGTAACTCTGCATCGATCATGATTATATGAGCATTTGTTTCCTAATGGGAACTCGTGTGTTTTCTGTTTTCGTTTAAAATAGCTTTATGTTGTCTTTCCTTTACTTTTCTTTTGTCTCAAAACCTTTATTAGTCCGATCTAAATAAATTTATCAATAACGAATTAGCGTATTTCTCTTATTTTTTAGAATATCGATGTTAACACTACGACGAATATCAAGTATTTATCAATATCTACACCCATTATCGTCATGTCAATATCGATTTATATCGAAACAATCGGGTGATGATGAATCAAAAGGAAAATCACCACGTTTGAGTGAAGAACTTTTGAGTTTTGAACGAAAAAGTGTTAATACTTCTCGTAACGTTATGAAAGATCGTAAAAATCCGCCAAATGAAGCTAAAGCCGAAAAGAAACGACCGATAACTCGTAAATTTTTCCTAGACTATTATTTCTCATTCAAACAAATTCTTTCATTTTTAAAGAGGAAACATTAGTGAAGGGTGATGGTCGACAAGTCAAAGATCTTCTTCGAGGTTTAAATGCGAAAAATTCAAATCATCAAAAACAATCTCTTGAACAACGCGATCGATCATCATCAAACGATAGAGTCAATCTAGCTAAACCTTTCGATACAACAGAAAAAAAACAAAAACGTGAAGGAGAACATGGTGGACAGAAGGACAAGTAAGTCATAGAAATTGATTTCCGAAAAATAAAACCTTTAGGTTAAAATATTCAGTATCGCCCTTCTCGTTTTTTCTTAAATGGATAGACAATTCAAGTAAATATGTAATAGATATTTTGAAATTGAGCTGTTGTCTACGCAATTCAATAAAATATGAACTACGACTAATTTTTGTCCACCTGGCAACTATGAACATCTTCATTAATGAAATAAATGCAACATACGACTAATTTTTCTATGATTTATTATGAGCATACGAAGCCTTGATTAATAAGAATCGCCAACATGAAATGCAATCAGTTTGAATTTTACTCTTTTCTGTTTATGTATCAAGCGTATGAAGTCGTACGTCACTGTTCATACGTATGCACTTTTAACTCATTACATAAAAAGTAATGATTCGATACCGTACATACAATAGCCGTGAATTTCCCTTGTGTCAGCATGAACTTCAGTTAGTCGACAATCTTTCATATATACTCCGAGACTATGTACATGAGTAAATAGTGTACAGGTATTTTGTAACATAGTCTACCAATATTCAATAGAGTATACTTGAAGAACCAGTTTTATGAAATTATATATACGCATAACTATCAGACAGCACTGTCAGGGGTCCACCTAGTCTGCAGGTGATCGCATTAAAATTAAAAAAAGAAAAAATTATTTTAAATGTTTTTCTTTATATTGAATAGAAAAATTCGTCCACAAGTTATTCTTGATACTGAATTAAATGAAGTAAAAATTTTAACACGTCAAGTTGCTAATTCTTTAACATCACCGAGTTCACCCAATGAAAGTAGCAATATAGAACAAGAATTACTTGATGTTTTGCGAGGTCACCGAGTTGTTAGTAAAAATGACCGACGAACAGAAAACAAGCCCGAACATCGTGAAGAACATTCAGAATTCAAAAATCGCGGAGCACATGAAAGACCAGCACGAAAAAAACAAACTCGTTCAACTTCAAATGTTAATGTTGAAAAAACAACTGAAGCCTTTTCGTAAGTGCCAATCAATCTCTATATGTTATAGTTTTTTTCTTTGGATAGATCCTTACTACGAGATTTTCAATTGAAACCAACTCGTACTACATCAAAATTAGGAGTTGATGATGATTTAGGCCGAGATGGTGAGTTTTGAATCAGAATGATATATACATATATAAATATTTAATTTGGTTCCTTGTTTTTATTTAGAAGGTGCTGAGACGAAATCACGTTTTAATGATCAACGTGAACAAAGGCGTGATAGTTGGGATCAACGAAAACCAGCGCAGGATACAAAGCGTCGGCAAGAATTTTTAAGGTGAATAAATTTTATAAAAAAAAATGGATATAATTTAATCTTGTTTTTCTTTCTGTAAAGACCACATCGATTATGGACTGGTGAACCATTAGGAATATTTACTACAAAAGACGTTAATGGTTTGTTTTTGATCCATGCAAAAAGATGCATTTTAAAATGAAAATTTCGTGTTGTTTTTTATAGAATTATCTTCAAAAGCTTCGCCCCTATGGGAAAAATATGAAAACGATGAGCTGATACGAATATCAACTATACCACCACGAAATGGCTTTGAAGAAATGATTCAATGGACAAAAGATGGAATTATTTGGAAGTTCCCTGTTGATAATGAACAAGGTTAGTCTTTCGGTACATTATTAATAAATCTATATTATTAAAATAACTCATTCTAATACATGAACAATTTACATATGGAATTTAAGGAAAACTTTCCCTCATTGGAAGATTATTTTACTAATTAAGAAATAATTTACTTGATTTTATTCTGCTTAACAGATATTGGTCCTGTAGGAGATGTTCCATTTTATGAACACGTTTTATTGGAACGTCATTTAAATGATTTTCCACAATCTCCACTTATTCGTCAATTCATGGAACTTGTCTGCGTTGGTCTCGGTCGAAATCCTTATTGGACAGTTGAACAAAAAGTTGAACATATCAATTGGTTTCGAAAGTATTTTAATGATAAAATGCATATTTTCAATGAAACAGTTCATACAGGCGCAATTAAAACATCAGCAGCAACACCCTCGGTTACAAAACCTGCTTCAACATTTAAACCAAAAGCACCGCCAGCAGCACCTAAAGTTGTTCCTGTCGTTGTTCCACCACCACCACCACCCGCTAAAGCATCGACGGCGAGTAAAAACTAATTGTTGTATTGTTTTTCTATTTCGTAGAATTAAAAAGATGTTGTTGAATTTTTCTTTCACATTCTTTTAATTGTGTATTAAGAAGACAATGAAGTGTTCGTATACGATACGGGTCTAGATTTGATTGATAAAGTCGAGGAAGAAAATGAGGATATCGATCGGGTTTACCAAAACCAAATGTTATTTCATTTTTAAACGTACGAAGGAATGTTTGTTTATCATGATAAAATGATTTTTCAAGATGAGAATGAAAATGACTATTTTGTGTTAAGGATATATTTAAATAACCATTTAATAGAAAAGCTAAATAGATATCATCATGATAATTTTCATTTATACAACCATCAATAAAAGCCGATACACTTTGTGTATAAGGTTCGAGAAGACTAATTGAATGTTTCGATAGACATACACCAGCACCTAACGTAGCGAACCAAAATGGATATGGAAATGGTTCTTTCGATCGTTTAATAGTATCAGACCATGAGGCACGTCCTACATAGTAAGGTTGATTGGAATCAAGTGTAGACAAATATTCTTTTAGTTTATTGACATTCACGTATTGATCGTCGTCAAAATGACAAAACCAATCATACTTTGATAAATAACGATGATAGATAATAAAGTCATGCGCCGTTTTGCAGCATAAAATATTCATAGAATGAGCTTCGGATCCGCATACTTCTTTAGTTAAAATCATATGAGTTTCAGATATATTTGGTAGAAGTAAATCCGAAGTAAAAAAGACGTCATCCTTGACTAGTGATATCCATGTTTGAAGAAGATAAATTAGACGTATTCGATAAAAATGTGCAGCTGTTCGAATGAGATACAAGATACGAATAGGTTTAGCTGTTTGATTGATTATCTCCGAGTTTTTTGTTTGAGTTAACAAGTTATAATAAATGAATAAAAAAGATAGAAAGATGATTAATAGACGTTTGTGATAGGACAAATTAGTTAACAAGGACATTCGTCGATAACAACGACGTCGAACGCAATAATAACATGAGCACGACCAAATCTTAGAGTAGCGTCCTAAAATAAACAATCGCCTTTCATGATGATATCACACAGCTGGAAATATAAATGGATAATCCTTTTCTTTTCCATTGATATTTCTATTCTATTCTCTTTCTGAATATATATTACCCAATATATTTGTAGGTAGTAATTCTCGTCTTGACGGATATGTACGTGGAAGAAGCATGTCGACGAATGAATAATCAAGAGTCAATATGTCACTCTGTTGGTTGCCGTCTTTCGAGTTTTACCACATTATGAGAAATTTTGTTAAAGAAGAAAATGAGAAGCACGAACATGTATTTAGAGAAGGAAAGAAAGAAAGAAAGAAAGAAAATATACATTAATGACAAATCTTAGGTTTCAGCGGGATTTACTTTATGTTGAAGAGAAAAATCTTCGTACCAAAACTGTATTTTTTAATCGATTTGTTAACAAAAGCAAATACGACAAAAATGAGCTCTTTGGAATAAAGCATGTCTTTTCAGCCTGGCGTATTCTTGTTGATTGATCGAAACTGGCATTTCAAATATCGAAATATGATTATGATTTAAATAGAAGGACGAAAGGATCATTTTCTTTTAATTACTTATATATCATACGGTGGTGTATTCAGCAAGAATATTATAAATTCTTACCTTCAATTCATGTGCAGTAAAGAAAGAAAAAAAGTAGCTTTGTTAAAAAACATATTTGTTTTTCTTTCTTAGCGAGGCTTAAACACAAACACAAACAAGAACATGAATTGAGCTTTGGAAGAGAAAGCTGTGTTGCATATCATCTATCCGTTAAATTATTATATTATTGCTTCAGAGACAAACAACGAAAGACACTAGATGTATATTTTAAGGATGACACACCAATATAGAATGCGTGTACTCAATAAGAACGGGTTTTTTTTTGTAAGATCGTGTTTGAATCGTGATATCTGTGTGAAATAGTGAGAAAATGAGCTCAAATTTTGTAGAGAAGTAGAAAAAACTCTTTTCTATTTATTGGTGACCGAAATTTTGAGAAATTATCGAGTTATGAGCGGTAGTTTGCAGTCACCTGGTGCCATTCTAAATAGAAGCACTTTCCTCAATAAGAGCGCTAATGCAAAAATTGTCCCCAAGTAGAACACACTAGCAAAAATTGATTTTAATAACGTTATTAAAATCAATTTTTGCTGGTGTGTTCTACTTGGGGACAATTTTTGCATTAGCGCTCTTATTGAGGAAAGTGCTTCTATTTAGAACGGCACCAGGTGACTGCAAACTACCGCTCATAACTCGATAATTTCTCAAAACTTCCGTCACCAATAAATAGAAAAGAGTTTTTTCTACTTCTCTACAAAATTTGAGCTCATTTTCTCACTATTTCACACAGATATCACGATTCAAACACGATCTTACAAAAAAAAACCCGTTCTTATTGAATACACGCACTCTATCTTTGTTTTTAGTTTGACCCGATAAAATAAAATAAAGCAGTAAGCGTATCCTATTTCACAAATAATACGACTATTATTATTATTAAAGACTCAACAAAGAAAAAGGCTTCGCAAATTCAATCATGTTGAAGAGATGAATTCATTCTTTTTTTCAAATCTTATTGTTAATCATACAAAAAGTTTTGAGATTTTTATCTCATCTAATTCATTGGAGAATTCGATTTTAGCATGCGCTGTAACTGATATTTAATAAAGTAAATCAAAATGTACCAGAGACTCCATCTATGATGTTACACATGGTCGCTTTTTGTCCCTCCCTCATTACCTTTTAGAAAATAAACATATTTTGATGAATCACATATTAAGTAGTCGTGCGTTTTTGTATAAATAAGCCTTATACTTGTTTTAGATTAAACCAAAATGAAATATTTATACTTTTTTCTTCTTATTGTACAAATTGGAATCAGAGCCGAATCCAAATCTGTATCATTTGTTAATATCATCCCGAGAATTATTGCCAATGGCCGATATGTGAAAGAAAATATCAATCATTCGAATTTCATACTCAATCCAGCCTTACCGTCGATAAATGTTGATTTTCTATCGAATGCAAATAGTTCAAATTGTAGTCGAGATATTCAATTGTTTTCTCACGATTTAATTTCTCAACAACTATGGGCATTGAAGAGTAACAAAGATTAGTTCTGTTCTTTTTTCTAATGAAATGTTTTTTGTTTGTGTCTAGCATTTGATGCTTGGGGGAAAATACCAAGTGGATTGATGCAAGGAAATATGTATTGGATTGGTTCAGTCTATGAATGTCGACATTATTTACGTGGTTTGAACAATAGTGTTATCGCACAACCATTTAAAACACGTACATGTACGATTGGTAATGGTATAACAAATACAATTCGACCCATTTATGGTATTTGTGTACCGCGAAGCTGTAATGCGAGTGATATTATCGATTTTATTAATCAACGTACGTAAATCAGTTAGGTAGATGATTCGTTTAAGTTAGATTTGGAGTCAGATTTTCCTATGTTTCATTGTTTCATTGTTTGAAATTTTGTTTTTAACCGCATATCCTCAATTTCTACGGTAATATCAACTATAGAGAAGAATATCCATAAGAACGCAAAGTCACATTCTCATATGAAATTTATTCTATCATTTTATATTTAGGTGTTATTCGAATTCCATTTATTCAACATTCAATAAATGTAACAACTGACGATATTCATTGTATTGATCGTCGTCAATATGATGGAACTGCTATTTTAACTATGTAAGAAGAAGAAAACTAATGTAACGAATTAAAATTTTTCGGTCATCTAGTGTTCTTCTATCAATAATTATTCTTCTGATACTTCTTGCTACTGGATTGCATATTATGTATGGACATAACCATGATTTACAATTGAATTATGTGCCCCCGATAGCTACAAATGAACCACTCTTAAGTCGAACAACTACAATAACAATAATCAATACATCATCGGAAACAAATCCAGTTGATGAGTTCGACCAATCAACGGCATCTGAGGAAGCATCGCTAATACCACCATCATCTCAACAGCGTGTGGACTCAGGTACAGAGAATCTTGTGATTAAGCCTTTTCTAAAATTGATTTTTGTTTAATAGCCGCATTAAATTTAATAAGCTGCTGTTCATTATTAAATAATTATCATATATTAAAATCGAACAGTTATCCAAAAAATTTAGCGTGTCTTAATGGTATTCGTGTACTTTCACTTAGTTGGATTGTTCTTGGTCATACAATTATATTTGCTGTTTATTATTCTGGTAGGTATTAAAAAAATCTCTAAAAAATAGAAATCTTATTTTCTTCGTTAAAAAAAGAATGAAATACCTAATTATTTCGTAAGTAAATGTGTACAGCTCGACTTGATTTAGTTCCACCGATGATTTTGTTTGATTATTTTATTTTAAAAATAAAAAATTTCTATATCTATTTAGATAATTTAATTACCATTTTCAATTGGTCTCGTAAACTATGGTTTCAAATAATTATACAAACATTCTTTAGTATCGATTCATTTTTTCTCTTGAGGTAAATTTTTTCAAAATTATTTTTCTCATTGCGGCAGCTCTTATAAGGAATACTAATTGCAAATTAAGTTTCTGTAATAGAACTCGAGAAAAACAAATTCCTTTTACACGCTACCGTTACCTATGATGAATTTTGTAAAATCACTGTTTATATATTTTTCTTTCCAGTGGTTTATTAGCAGCATTTACATATTTTATATCGAAAACTGAAAATGACCAATTTTCAATTGTAAAATTTTTTATGAATCATTATGTTCATTATTATTTAAGGTAAAACGAAAATATAGATTTTTATTTTGTGATTGCACTGTATTATTCAATAGATATACATCATTGTATGCAATTATTTTACTAATTTATATTACTCTGTCACCGTACATGGCTCAAAATGGCCCAGTCTATCCAATAGATGGTATCGAAACATCGTCATGTCGACACAATTGGTGGCGTAATCTTCTATATATTAATAATTTCTTTGATATGCGTGATGGGTGTATGCCGGTAAAATTTAACCCTTTGTTTTCGGCATAGAGTGCTCATAAGAGAGATAATTCTTTAGATTTCATGGTTCTTAGCTGTTAATATGCAATTCCATTGGATAACACCATTATTTCTATTGATTGTTTCATGGTAAGTTTTATAGTTAGTTCATTTGAAAATTAAATCAATACACCTGAATTTTTTTGTGATATTTTCAATATTGCGATAAAAGCAGAGACGTATTGCTTCTTTAATGAATATAATTCTTCCCTGAAAACATATCACTTTTTTTCTTCAGGAAATGGCTCCTTGGAATGGTTGTATGTATTATTTTTATTACCATTGATGTCGTATCAACAGCGGTGATAGTTTCAAAAAACGATTATGATTATGGCTTCTTAAGTGATTTATATTCACACAAGTAATTCAGCAACTTCTGAATCGCTTTTCGAATGTTCTTCTTTGTATTTTTCAGAGGAAACTTTTCCAATATGACAAATGGATATTTTAATGATGTCTACGTTAAACCCTGGTGTCGCATAGGTCCATATGCTGTCGGTTTAGGAATTGGTTATATTTTTTATGAAGTTTATCAACGTTCAAATACGTTATCATGGGATTCACTTATACCAAGAACGACAATTCACAGTCGACATTATTATTTCAAACGAATATTTGCTTGGTCATTTGCTTTAATTCTCTTGTCTCTTTGCTTATTTGGTACCTACGGTGATTATAGTGGACATGCATTAACTCGACGAGATCGAATTGCATTTCTCACTCTATCACGACTTGCTTGGTCGGTTGGTATTTCTACAATAATTATTACTTGCTTTTCTGGCCATGGAGGTCTGTAGAAAACGTTTTTGTTTTGTTTAACTGAATGTCGTTTGTCTTCTTCGTTTCTTACAGGAATAGCAAATCGATTTTTAAGTCGATCATGTTTTTATAAACTATCAAAATTAACATATGGTGCATATTTATGGCATGCATTAGTTATCTTTGTTAATTATCTCGGCCGAGAACAACCTACACATTATACATTAACAAATATGGTATGTTTCGCATTTTTAAATCTTAGTTTAAAGCTCGATTGTTTTATTTTTAGATTTACAATTTTATTTGTTACACAATTATTTCATATTTTTTATCATTTTGTACTTTTCTGTTCATCGAATTACCGACAGTTCAACTACTTGAACTTTTCTTTAAGCGTCCAAGAAAGTTGCAATGAAATAATTAATTGCATTATGTATATGACTTCTTCTTTTTGTATCATTGAAAATATTTTCAGCACAAAATATTTTTATATTAATTCATTTTCGTTCATCTTTTTGCTGTTGCTTCATCAGCCAGTAATATGCTTAACTGTATTCTTATTCATTAGCATTTTCCTTGAATTTGCTATTGTAGCTCATTGTAAAATTCAATAAAGTAATAACAAACATTACTATTCAAATTTATAAACAAAAAAAAAACTTTGCAAATGTTTTAATGAATTTATTTTGAAATAAAGCATTGATTTGAAAGCCAATGTTAAACAAATCCAGTCTGAATTGAGTACTAGACTCTCATGTTGTTTGAGCAATTCACGAAAGTTTGGAATAATTTGAAGTGAAAAATTTTTTTGCAATGGCATTGATCTATTGAATGATGTTGTATTCGAGATTAGAAGTGATTAAATAAAAGCTATTGCAAAGAACATCCGATTATGTCAGTTGCCATGAGTTTTATTGAGCAAATACACATTAGCTAATATATTCTACTATAAATCTAAATAAAAACATTGGCGATGCAGATTCAATGCTTCGTTAAGAGTACTCTAACGAGATAGATTCATACTGTTTGTGTTTGTACGCATGTGTATACGGATATCGGCACTGGTGGGCGATCGTCCTTTGTTTCTATGAATAATGTCTCTCGCTGCCTTGAGTCTATCCAGGCCAACTATCTTCTTCGTCCTAGACATTGTTGATATTTCATATTCTTTCTTGTGTTAACTACTATCTGTAATTCGATTAATAACAAACAAGTCGTATGACAGCATCTATCCATGATATTTGTCTAATTTCAAGTTGATGGGAGGTACTAGAAGTTGTCCTTCGTATAAACATGACTAGTTTAACAATGTGTTAAAAGGAAAACAATGTTTACTTCAATTTACTACTAAAATGAATTTAGAAATAAACTCGCATGGATATCGTGCTATAGCTAATTTTTAATGCTGTTAACAATATTAATCTTTTTATTATTGAGCAACGAAGTTTTTAGAAATTATTTCTCGATCGACTCGGATATTCACTAGGTTTTTATTACTCTTGAAGCAAATATTTCATGAAAACAGTCCAGCTAAATAATCCTTCAATATTCTCTTTTTGATTGTTTAAAATTCAGTTTGTAAGTATTAAAAAATAAATAAATGTCAATATTTTTGGTTATTTTCCTTAAGCCTAAGCAGAACGAGTAGCCGTCAATAATAGTTTTCTGTTGACAAACGACATCGGAAGAAAAGCGCACATTTACAAGTCGATATAATGACAGTAAACAATTCTATAACTTGTTCCAAAGGTCAGTCAAAGAGACCATATTTATTACCAGATAACCCTCACCAAACATTAGGTTTTAGGTCGTTGTGACAAATACGACCTGAATAAAAGCACGCAATTCTAAATCTATGTTTAATTGCATTGTAAAGCAAACAAAAATGGCATAACGGACAACTAAGCGCTGCTAATAGGTATTTTATCACAGATACAAAGAATTTCACCGTTTATTATCAGCTAATGACTCGTCAACAACACTTATCGTCGAGTTTTTTTATCATGAAAAGCAACAAAGATTTGGCGTCATATACATATATTGATAGGTATCATTAAAAAAATGATTCGTCTAGCATGCATTCGAGGTAGAGAAATAGGAGAACAACATTAAAAATATTTAGCCGCAATCATTTGACTTTTCGTTTTTCAATAGTATTAACTTAAAAGCGTATCGCGCCTAAGACTCCTCTAAAAAGATTACTACAAAAAAAAAGTCAAAACGAATGCTTACTCTGTTGATAGTATATTCTTTTTCTGTAACAAAATATTGGTCTTCCTTTTGTTTCAATCAACTATTCGCTTATCTCCTTCTTCTTTTTTTAAAATTATGAAGTCACAAAAAAGTCTGTACTAATGTAAACAAATATTGCTAATTATATAAAAATTCTGTTGTTTATCAACAAAAACAAAAATAACGAATTGAATTTCAAATCATTTTTGTTTCTTGATTAATTCGTATACCATGTAAATTTATAAACAAATTCGCAATAAGTTCTCCTAACCTCCCGCATAACCTAATACGTCTTATCAGTTCCCAGGTCGAAGACGTACGGTTGTAAACGGCAGGAAAACACTGGAAATCACCGGAACATGAAAGCAGCATTCCTGTGGAAATTTTTTCAGATTTTTTCCTGTGAATTCTAATCGATTTTCTATGTTTTCTGGCAGGGATCGACGGGAAAGTCATCGAAAAAAATTCCAAAAATTCCCAGCCAGAATGCTGCTTCCGATTCCCGTGTTTTCCTGCAGGATACGATGATTTTCCCATATTTTCCGGAATCATTGATCTACATCGTTTTGTTATTTTCTATTCTCCAGTAGCCAGTATCCAGGGCATGCTATATGTAGTCTCATGATAATAACAATATAATAATAGTTATAACAGGAAACGTATTTTAGACGAATAATCAGGATAATGTTGACAGATTTCTCTATTGTAATAGAATACACATATTTTACCCTCAAGAAAACTAAAAGCAATCAACAGATATGTAAATTTATTAACCTTATCGACTGTATTCTTATTTAATTGACAACAACAATTTACAAATGTAAACAATATTGTTATCTGATTCATCGCCTATTAATAGAAAAAAGAAGATACGTGAAGTCCTAGGAGGTTGGAAATTTAAACAAAAACAATGAAAAACAGCATATGGTTCATTATGTAAACTGCAAACATTTGTATCCTTTTTTCTTGTGCGTTATTGTCTTAGCAAATGTATTTCAATAGAACAACGTTGTATTTATTTTGATTAATATCGATCTGTCAAAAACGAATCTTTCCCCTTCTATTGACATATTTGTCTATTCAAGGCTGGCAATAACATATCTATTTATATATATATATATTGCTTTAAGCACAAATTATTGAAGAGATATGCTATTTTGTGTTATGAATACTTGAGCTTTTTTTAATAGTCTAATGAAAATATCATTGATCTTTTGATGCATAGAAGATATATCAATTTGTACAAGTTTCTCGGTTAAAATTTATTCGTAAAAGGTCAATATATTGAATCTAAACAAATAAATTATGCAATGAAATTGATAAAAAAAAGATGTCAAAATTTTGTTCTTATTTCTTTGATAATAAATGAGACCTTAATTTAAACTATAATCACAATTTCTTAATACAAATATTCATTATCCACATTAAAAGAAAAGAACTTGGGCTGGAAAGATTTCGCAAGAACAAAAAATCCAATACTAAAAAATTTCAGACAAACAAAAAAGCGAAGAAACCAACACGTTCATTCTACAGAAGAAGAAAAAAACAGTCACGAAAGGACAAATATCATACACTGAATTAATCGCTATCTGTTGTATTTATACTATAAATAAAAAGTAAAAATTATGCATGACCCAACATCGTCCGTGAATAGATACGATTACAATGCATACAAAAAACATGATCATCTATTGGATAACATCCTTCTTCGCTGGTAAATTGTATGCTACAATTCTGAAAAAAGGGAAAATATTTTTTGTTTCGTTTTTCAATTTTAAAACTTACTTCACATCGATAACAATCAATATGATAGCTTCGATCCAGTGCTACAATACGAACAGTTTCATCTTGACCATTGACGGGTAGTATAGGTCGATGACAAACATAACATCGTGGTGCAAATTTTTGATGAAAACATTCGATACAATGTACTTCCATTATTGCATCAATTGTAAATGGGACACCATCAAGAGTTTTATGACAAACAACACAACAAAAACATTCAGCATGATAAGGTTTACCGGTCGCACGGAGAATCTATTTCACCATAAAAATATATTCAATAAAAAACATAATAATCCGTGAAAATTCTCGGTACGTTCCAATGAATTAACAAAAGAAAGTTAATGACCTTTACGTACTCATCTAACAATAAATATTTTATCGACTACAGTCATATTTCATCTGTTAATGACAATAATTAGTTTACTTTAAAATTATTTACTACAGTTTTCAACATCTGAATATCTATTTTAGTCTCGTCTCTTTGCTTGTTTCTACATATACGTTATTCTTTGCATGAATATATATCATAGAGAATACTTATTTCACTTACTCTATCAGTGATTGGTCTTGCGCAAACAACACATTTTTCTAATGAATTCTTTCAAAAAACAAAATCAATTAATAATTTTATTTTGTAATTAAAAATATTAACTTACAACATAACATGGTTCACAATATGGTTTATTTTCCATTGAATAAAAATGCATACCACGTAAACGACAGCCACACATGGTGCATGTAAAACATGGTACATGATACATTCTATCCATAGCAACAAGTCCATTTTCTTCTCCCACTATTTCATCATTACATCTCGCACACATCCCTTTTAAATCGTAGAAAATTGTACTTCTTTTAATTTGACAAAAAAGTTTTACTAACCAAAAAAGTTCGGTTCATTTGATGAATTCATACTTTTCATTAATAATTTCGTTAGTTGATCAACATCCGATGGCTCTTTTCTCATTTGATGTCCACTACGTATGGTAAATGGAGTTGGATTTGAATTTGGATGTGAAGATGTCGGTGGAAGATTTACAACTGATGGTGATTGACGTTCTATATTGTCAAATACAGGAGATTGATTACCATTCGGACTTGTAAAAGCAATTAAGGGTTTAAAACGGTTAGCAACAACATTTGATGTATATCGACTATCAAGAGGAGAATCACGAAGTATTTCAATCTGGCGTATTGACTAAAATAAATAGAATTTATTTTTCTTCATATATTTATATTTTTAACGGGTGGATTTTTACCGGTGATGTTCGTCCAAGCATATGAATAGCTGATAATGGTGATGATACGGATATTTCTCTTTGATTTGCAGGTGTCGGTGTACCGAGTGAGATATGAAAAGCATTATCATTTCCATTTGAATAGGTGATCGGTTGATTTGTTATTCCTTGACGATTTATAGATATTGATGGAGAATCAGGCCGTGAGATAAGAATTTCTTTAAACGTTGATTTATTTGGATTTGATGATGATGAAAAACGAATTTCAGATCTATTTGGTGAACCTCGCGACCCAATCGTTATAACTGGCGATTGAGAGGCACTAACACTTATTACAGCTTAAGAGAGAGAAAAAGAGAGTTATGATCATAATTTGTTTGATTACGATTAAACTTACGACGACTGCTATTAGTATTATTATTGAATGCATTACTGATCGGTGTTATAGGTCGATATTGTGAATGTTTTGTAATCGTTGGTGATAATGGTTCATGATCGGATAAATATGAATTTGAAAGTGAAGAACCTAAATCAACAATTGAAAAAGAAAATTATATGATTGATCTCGTTGAGCCTATTTTTTCCCTCGTATTATTAGACAAACAAAACTAACACTTGATTGCTCATTTCGAGAAAAAGAGCCTTGATCGCTTCATCGAGGTATATCCTCAATATACAACAATAATTTTTCTTCTTCTTCTATCCCTTGCGATGATTGGCTACGTTAACAAGAATCGTTCTTTATGTTGTCAACTAAAGATCGTTATATACGTATATGTAATAATACTCGGAACGTGCCAACATGTCTATAACCTTCGATATATCATCCGATGTTCGATAAGAGGCGACTATATAGTTAGTTTTTTTTTAACCGGGGCAAAAGGGGAATAAAATAGAGAATATCAAACAGTAGATGCACATTCAAATACAGTCACCACAAGAATAGCATGCAAAAGGCAAAAACAGAAAACTAAATGAATGACACCCTACGAGATTTATAATGATGATTGAAACTAAAAAAAGATTTATAAGAATAGAATTGATGAAGAATATTTTTCGTTATTTTCACCTGAGTCTGATCGAACGATTGTTGTTTGAACAAATGGATTTTTAACAGGAATAAATTGATATGTATCATTAATAGTTGGTGATGACGAAAAAGCAATGGGTGGCGGCGGAAATTCAATCGAAAGTGATTCATCTGATGATGTACATTCGTCATCATTATCGTTAACTAAAATAAGAAAATGAAGCACACATTTTCATGCGTCATGCTTGAACAAAACAAAAAACAAAAAATGATCAATTCATAAACGCCATGCATAATGAATTTTGTTTTTGAAATATTTTCTTACCATTTATTTGATTAGCTGAATATCGACGTTGAGATACATTCTGTTGATAATCATTTTCTCGACGATCATTAGTCGTATAATCGAATGGATCAGGAGTTACTCGTGAACGATAGAATGGTCTTGGCCCAACGATACGAGTTGTTGTTGTTGTCGATGACGAAGATAGACCTGACGATTGGCGATTTATATTCATCGGCGAATTTAGGCTACTATTGTTTTGTTGATTAAAATTTTGTGCCTGACTTTGAACGAACGTATTATTCTTTGAAGATAATGGCGACGAAGAAGACATCGGTATTTATATATGTATATCGAGAGAATAATAGAATATGCGTATATATGTATGTGTGTAACAACAACGACAATCAGAAGCCACCCACGCGCACACACAAAAAAAAGATGGTCTGAAAGAAATAAGAGGAAACGACGAAGACAAGAAGTAGAGAGAAAAGAGAGAACAAATGAAGCTGTATCATCGGACCGGTGATACAAAGAGGAAGAACAAGAAAGTGCTAGGTTGTGTTGTCCGTTCTAATACAACGATGATGACTATGATGATGGGTATATCAGATGTTCATTTACACGAGATCTTTTTTTTCTCTCTCATTCATCAGTATCAGCCAAAACAAATGAGACAAACAGTCAATCAGATACCTGTTGTGCACATTCTATCGCAAGTCTCGATATCTCATCTAGCCTTTTTTTGCTCTAAATGTCGTCAATATAAAATATTGTCATTTTATACGTATTTTCTTTGCATAGAAAAGAACGCGGTTAGATTAATATATTTACAGAAATAAATAAATAAACAAACATCAGAAATTATGCTTGAAAATTTTTCTTCGGATGAAACTCATTAAATAATCAAGTAATAACAGATGATAATCGAAAAAATTGGATTTTATCATGATCAAATTTCTATCTGAAAAATAAAAACTAATAATCATTTCCATGATTGACTCTATTTATTTAATAGCTACACTTTTTCACGAATATAAACTTGAACAAGCATGGCTATCGCTATTGAAAATGGTTCTTTTTCTCGTGCCTTTTTGATGTGTCAATATTGACTGATAAACAAAAAAAGAATTCTGAGAACATTTCAAAATATCACCTCCGGTAATCTTCGGTACATAGCTTAAAAACAATCAAACTCTTTACTAGCACAATGAATGAGCAGAAATTTTTGCATACAATTATATGGAGCATATCCCGAGTAAACTAAATCCATATTCATCAACAATTCCCTAGATATTTGGCACGTTGGGAATAATATTTTTTTTTCTATGAACATATTAATTCTCTAGATAAATTCGATGAACATTGATTTTAACATAGGCAATTAAATATACTAGACTCAAAATGCAAAACTACTCACGTTTATCAAGCTATTCAAACATAAAAGTCTTTTTTTTGCATGAATTAACCAGCACTTAGTAAGCATTAGTCAGATTAAGATCCATATATCCATATTATATTCGTATTATAATGATTGAGAACATTGATCGATCAATAGCTGTCAGCAGTGGCCGATAAGTTCTATGAATAAGCCACGCGAGTTATACTCAACGTGAGTACTTCATCGATATTTATGTTAAAAAGTTAAGTCATAGATGATTCAGAAAAGAGTCTTATTCATCATAAGCAAGAATGTTGCAACTTAGGTGACTCAGTCAGATTTTGCGTGAACAGAAATAACTTCATAGGATAATACTTCTTTGCACAGATGTTGCCACAAAGATATTTTCTTCTAGTTGTCACGAAAGAATTGAAATAAAGGTCACCACTGTAATAAGTAGTACAGTAGGTACACAAAATGATGAGCAATATTGGTATTCGCCGGAGTCAATATTCGATATGATTCCGGGTAGTGAAAAGGCCAATCTAGAAAAAGAAAAGATTATAGCCTTCATAATGTTAAAATATATAAAAGAAAAAATTTAATCGAGTTGAATAATTCAAAGCGGAACCGATTATTTCACTTAAAATCAATCGAATAAAAAAGGTTCTCATAAGAAATGAATGTCGCAATGTTCGAGTTCGCTTCATCTAATGCCGAACAGATTAAAAGAAAAATCTATCTAAGCATGATTGCGATATACCATGAAAAAAAAATACTGCTTTCATTCTAACTTTGTAATACTATACGCATTTCTTCAAGTGTTTTTATGTGCGCTTCTGCAATAAAGAGAAAATTCTTTTTTTTTATCTATGTTATTTGATTGTTTTTTACTAACGCTGGTATAGAATACAAAAAAAATCGTCTATTTTTATGTTTGTTCTTCAAAATGAATCATAGAGAAGATCAGAGGAGAACTAAACTAATCCGTGGTTCGATGAAAGATCGAGTAAGGACGATAGAAAAAAACGAGGATAAGACTAAGAATGAATTACTTTTACAATAAGATTTCTACACACTAAACTATCAACGATTAGAAAAATATTTTGTTCGTCGGTACATCTCTTTATACTATTAATACCAGATTGAATAGATTTAATCGGATCAAGAATAATTACGTTCCTAAGTCCATATGGTATCAACATAAATATAGAGTAGCAGACATTCAGGTATGTTTCCTTAGCCAAATAATTCTGGCGTCATAAAGAAGCTTATACTTATCTCGTTTTACTTATTTATTAACAGTCGATTGAATATATATATATATATTTGCAATATTTCCACTCATTTGTCAACATCTCTCTCTATGAAGGGACAAGCATAGGATGATGTCCTTAGGCAAATCTGTCAATATAGCTTTGTTTGTAAGGTTAAGAAGTTCATGAGCAATTAGCTTGCCGTCATTGATATGCTTGTTGCCTATAATACGTCAAAAAAAAAAGAGAAACTTCTGGACGATTAACCTGAATTATTATTCGAAGGAAAATTATGTTCACTGGTTAACAGATGAAAATAGCTTTTTTATGAAGCAATTTATGTTTAATCTTAACATCTATTATGATGTATCAAATGTGATTCACAAAATCTTTCTGTCGAATATATTTACAAAAGAAAAAAACAACAACAACAAAAGAATAAATTCTATTCCGACAATCGATTAAACTACTCGATGAATAAGATCGTTTAATCGCAATGGGACCCATTGATTATTTTCATACACGAATATAACATTTTTATCAATATAAATATTAGCATTGCCGAATTGATAAACTTGTTTTCCTTCAAATGTACGATTTGTTATCGGCAGAAATAATAAGTTGTGATCACTGGCTTTCTTCTCAACCAAATCTTTAAATGACGAAACAACAGTTGATGACGTTGTTGCAACACCACGATTGAAAATTGCCTAAAAAAAAACATCGGAGAAACAAACATTAAAATTAAAACTCAATTTTATCACAAATCTTACTTCATAATTAACATTTACATTTGGTAGAGGTGGAGGCTGAGGTGTTGGCTGAACATTAACCGGTCCGGATATTCTTCTATCAATCATTACTAGACCTTCTGTTAATTTTTCTTTTATTATTGTATGATTAATTATTGCTAGTGGAAGTAATGATCGCCAACCACTATACCATCGTTGAATTTCTTGATAATTAGGATTTGTATTTAACCAAACATTAAGTACCTACGAATGAAGAAAAAGTTTTAATAATACTTTTTGTTCTTTAGAAAAAACAACAACATACTTGAAGCCATTTAGGAAAAAACGTTTTTTCTAATATTGCAATCATACTTGCCAGTGGTACCACCTCGTACCAAGAAATAAACCAATGCCATGGATCTAAATAAAACCATTCGTAGGCAAATAAATTTATTTGTTTGTTTCATACCTAAAACTTGTTGTCGAGGATCAATAATAAATTGTTGCATTGTTGTAACTAATTTTGGCACGATATATGTATTCATAAATCCATCCCATGTACTTTGTTTGAAAACTTTCTGCCATGGAAGAAGAACGGCTTTCGCTGACGAATCTGATGGTTGCCAATTTTGTAGCGCTTGAGATAGTTTTGCTCGGATCGGTTGATAGAGTGGTTCAAGACGATCTTTCATTAATGGCAACCATGGATGAGTCCAGGAATGAATTGGTATTGGATCAGTCAATGGATTCCATGCTTCAACTTCACGATTTAGTATTGGAAAAATAAGTTGATCAAGAATATTATCAAATATCCATTGTGGTAAATAGGGTGCCCATTGTTCAATAAAATCAATTAGATGATCAGGTTGACGTGGATTCCATTCACTAGAATAACAAAATATTGTATTCGAATTTTTACATGCGAGATTTACTTACAGTATAGATTTTCTTAAAAATGGCATCCAAACATCCCATATAAGTCGATGATATGGATCCATAGTTTCTTTTGATTGATTGGAGTGATCTATCGACAAATCGATAATGTCATCTTCGAGAATTCCTTTCCATTTAGAGAATAATTCAATTAATTCATCATCATGATTACAAATATTCCAATAGGATGAAAGATGTTGTTTTAAATGACTATGCAACGCAGGAACAGCTAAATCCCATAAACGATATTTTTTATATTCTTTTTCATAATTTCGTCGAAGTTCGTCAAAGATTCGTTGTAGAAAAAATAGATCAGATACATTTATAACTTGACTAACAGCTACTTCACATCTAAAATACAACGAATATTTTTATTTTTTATAAATCCTTCCATTGCCGCTAGGGATGCATCAGTACCAGTATACTGGTTTTCTACTTTCGAAAATAACTATTAGCGAAATGAGTAATTTTCTCAGCCACCACTTCTTTTGTCTATAATTCACGTCGTAGTCATAGTAAAGGAAGAAATTGTGCTCGAAAATCTCTATTGAGCATATCATATAGCACGAAAAGTCAGTCAATCAAGAAAACAATAAATGTATATGTTGTAAACAATGGCGATTGTCACTCGTATTAGTATTAAATAAGAAAATACTATTGATACGATGACAACTAATGCACTGATTTTATTCAATACTAATAAAACTACTATATTGATGTGTCAGGTTCAACTTTTAAGTATAAATCCAAAACGATAAGGAGTTAAAGAACGTATTTTTGATTACATAAGTTAAAAGATTCGATCAAATTATTGGTATCGTTACAAGATTGAACAGGTAATAGTGACATTGCTTGTTTACCGTGCTGTAATTTTCATTTAATATATGTATTATCTCAAGCCCAGATTTTGAACTCGACGAAATTGATCTCCTCATTGACTTCCCGGAGACTTTTTTTTTATAAAGACTACCTCGTTCTTTCCTTCTCGCCTCAGTGCTCTTATTTCGTGCTTCTCTCTCCCCTTTTCTTTCTTCATTGTCATGAAGATTTTCTTATCGCTGCTGTTCTGTGTGTATTGGTATGCTGTTCAACTAATGTATAGTGTGTGTCCGTGTCCGCGTCTTTTATGTCTCCTTATGCATGTCTCTTGTTTTGTCCTTGTTTTTTGCCTGTCAATGTATGTTCATGTATATCTTATCTTTGGTGCTGTCCTGTCACAGTGGTTCATGTCTCTCTTTCTTTTTCCATGCTCATTGTACTGTAAGGGCTCATGAAGCCGTCAGTTATTGCATAATAAAATTTAAAAAAAAAATATATATATACATGTATTATCTGTCCCATATCCAATATCGTGAACAAAAAAGCTCTAGCTTTAGCTATGTAACTTATGTGCATCAACTAATGCAATAGATATGCGAAAATAGTGTCATTCGACTGACAGAGAAGTAGAAAAATCAAGCCATTTACTCATATGAGATTTCTGTGACTAAAAGTTGATTAAGTTCACTAAATATCCATGTTTTTTTTTCGTGATCGATTAAACCTAAGTTCAAGTTGGTATCTTAGACATAGTATTTCGATTCATTGGTTTATCTAATAAAATTGTTTTACTATCTGACTAAGTCCATGAATGAAATTCTTCATTTCTTCAAAAACGTTGAGAAAAGTCCCATATAATGTTATCAGCTAGTTGAGTATACAATATATTATACTATTTCAAACTGTTGCAAAACTCAATTTTTCACTTGAATACAGGCAAAAGAAGTGATGGCTGAGAAAATTACTCATTTAGTTGATAATTATTTTCGAAAGTAGAAAATCAGTATTAGTGGTGCATCCCTAATTGCCGCGTAGTTTACTTACTGATTAATCATATTTAGAAGAGTATTCAATCGGCTAATATTTGTTTCTTCTTCTGACATGACCTGTTCAGTATGATTCATGTCGTATTTTAATGCAACAGTTGTATCTTCATCAAATTTTTGTCTAAAATAAAGATTGAAGTTAGAAATGAATAATTTTAGAATAAGGAAGAAGTCAAGATCTTTATTAGGGATTGGGTGTAGTATTTTAATCAGGTTATTAAATTTTGTCTTATTTGCTCGAAAAGAGAACCAAAATGAAAATTTTCTTACCTCCGATGAGCACGAATCATTGATTCTTCACATGATTCGATGACTAAATCGAGATTATGTGTTAATTCTTCTAATGAAAATACTTGTTCACTATCAAATTTTGTTGCTATGGAATCATAATTTTGAAGAACACGTTGTTCACGTCCAGTCATATCGATAATTTTTTCTCGTGTTGCTCCACCAGCTTTTTTATGTTGAAATTTAGTTGTTTGATCTTTTAATAAATCGTCCAAAGTTTTATAAACATAATGTTCTCTAGGTGCTTTCTAAATAGATAAAAAATTATGTTTTTTTTTTCTTCTTCATAGAATAAATATTTTCTATTACTTCTCGTTGCTGTTTTCTCCATTGCGGAGCAACAGGACCAGCATCTTTTTTCGATTTTCGTGTTTTTTCATTCAGTTGAGGTTCTTCAGAAAACAAAAACTTAATATAAAATTCGAGATAGAAAAGTATCAATTACCTGCAGCGGGCTTAACACGATTCGGATCTTCATTTCCATATCGACCAACTGCGCCTTTGCCTTCGCGTTTAACAACTTGAATTGGTAAGGCTCGACCTTGCAGATTTTTTCCCAAACCATGACCTTCTTTGAAACCCATCTAAATATATACGATAATTTTAGAGTTTCAAATCAACAGATTGGCGAAGGTAACATACCTTTTTTAGCAACTTCATACCAATACCTTTTGTATGTTTTTCAAATGTACCAAATTGCCTACATAATTAAAATAAATTAGATGATTTCGTGGACAAAAAAAATAGGTTTATACGCGTCTCGAACTGGTACTGTATTGGGCGGTGGTGGTCTTTGATATTGAATATTTGGTGGTTGACGTTGAAAAATTGGTGGTTCAATTTCTTCATCACTCTAAAAAAACAGAAAATGAAACTCGTTAATTCAGTAAAAGAAAATCTGTTTTTTTTTGTCATTACCGATCCAGCTGGTGGATTGCTATCATCTTGTATTTCTTGAATGTCACTATCATCATCTTCATCACTGCTTTCCTTTCGTTTTTTTCGTTTTTTTTCAATTATTTCTATATCATCATCGTCGTCGTCGTATTCATCATCATGTTTTTCATCACTATCATCTTCATCACTATCATAACTTTCAATTAAAATGGGTTTCTTCTTCTTTTCCTTCTTTTCAATTTTGGATCCTGACTTAAGACCACCACTAACAAATGATATTCCTTGAGGCATTCGTCTATAAGATGATGATGTTGTTGTTGCATTATTTGATGCTCGTTCAGTTGCTGTTGACCAAATACCTGTTTAATAAAATAAATTACCAAGATAATGATTTAACTAAAAATAATAACTTTACCATAAATAGCTTCTTCTTTGCTTTGTCGTCCACGACGACGTGTTGGATTAAAAGCAGAATCTAAATCACTTTCGGTGATGTTAAATTCTTCAATAAAATCACCGTCCGCCATTAGTTTAATATTCTAAAATGAAAGCACAACAGAGATCAGTATTTTTTGTAATTACTCGAGTTTCAACATCTTGTAATGATTCATTATTTGCTTTGATTGGACCAGTTAAACAGCCATTTACAGAACGCAAACAAATTTCTGTCGTCGTCAGCACATATTTGTTTATTTTAAGACCGTATAAATTGTTTTACATTTTTTCAATAGCAAAGAGAAAAGGACGATACTTTATTTTTTATTTGTCTTGAACTTTCATATCTTATTAGTATTTTTGATATAATTATGGTAAAGTCTCTTCGATTGTATTGTTTTTATTTTAATAAAATAAAATAATTTTTAGGCAAACGAAGTCAAAAGCAGTAAAGCCGGCTCTGCGACGATGACAAAAGCGGTTAATAAACCTAATTCTAATTCATTTTGTTGTACTATGTTCATTTATACATTTGTTTTTGTATCCGGTGTTATTGTTGGTAAGTTCAATTGAAATAATTTCTAATAATTCTTTTTCAAAATTTTATTTTCTATGTAGCAACAATTTTACCTGATTTAGCTGGTCACCATCTTATACAACCTTATGGAAAAGAATATAGTATAGTTTTTAATTCAAATTTAATTAAAGAAAAATATTTTTCTATTTAAAGAGGTAATGGCTCAACAACTATGGAAAGATTTGCCAAAACATATGAACAATTTTGCTGAAAAAGCTGTCTTAGCTAGCCGAGATATAATTGACCACCTTCGGGCAATGAAAGCTGAAATCGATCGACGTGTTCAAGAATTGACAAGTAAAAATGGCGATACATCCACAGCAGATCGAACTACAACAACAAGTAATTAAATAAATAAAAAAACAATCAGGAAAAATATGACATCTATTTTTAGAAACAACAACTACTCAACGTCCAAAAACTACAACAACAACAAGTATGTACTCATTTCAATCGAGCAATAGACTAGTTTTTTTAATCTCCTAGCAACAACAAAGCGGACAACAACTACCACTCAGAAACCAACAACAACTACCACCCAGAAACCAACAACAACTACCACCCAGAAACCAACAACAACTACCACCCAGAAACCAACAACAACTACGATTCTAACCACAACAACAACTCCTAAACCAACAACTACTACCACTCAACCAACTACCACTACGACTCAAACCACCACAACTCCTAAAACAACAACTACTACTACTCAACCAACTACCACCACTCCTCAACCAACAACCACTACGACTCAAACCACAACAACTCCTAAACCAACAACTACTACAACTACTCCTCAACCAACTACTACCACTCAACCAACAACAACTACGACTCAAACCACAACAACAACTCCTAAACCAACAACTACTACTACTCAACCAACTACCACCACAACCCAAACAACAACTCCTCAACCAACTACCACTACTACCCAAACAACAACGACCACTCAAGGTAGCTGAATGTTTCTTTTTTTGTATCGCTATAATATTATTTTGTAGCTCATGAAGAACCTTCAACATTGGCCACACCAAAATTCACTCAACATCGAGTCGTTATTGAACCTGCTGCTGTTAAATCAGAAGAAAATCCAAAAAAGCCATCACAAACAAACGAGCTTTAGACAAAGAACCATCTTCTCTTAGGCAAATGATATTCTTTTGATTTCCATTAAAATGGTTGATTTAAAGATTTCTTTACATTCTCCTGTTCTATCAGTCAGTTTCATCTTCGTTTTTTTGTCGATTTTATTTTAATTTCTACCTGGGCCCATGGGGATTAATAAAAAGTTCTTATCTTTGACTATCATTGAAAATATTTGGCGAAGGAATATTTTTATCGATGGAAGTAAAAAATTAAATGCTCAATAGATATATAAAAATGAGCTAATAGGTGTAATCTTATTTCTACTGATTGATCTTTTGCATAAATATTTATCGTACTGTGCTACAAAATTACTGTACTGCGTCAATCATATGAAACGAATACTAATACGTTTCATAATTGTCTTTTTCTTTTGATTGTATCATCACGATTATTTAAATGTTTGGTTTGCTACTGGACGGTTTTTAGGGGTCATCAACGAACCATCACTGTTAAATTTTGAATTAGCTTTTCTACATTCAATTTCCTTATGAATTGCACTGTGAAGACGACTTGATACTATAGAATGATTTTCACTTTAATCGGTTCTCTCTACGATCTTACAATATCAATATAACAGAATAGCTTATTCTTCAATAATAAAAATCTAAAGTCATTCTGCTGCTTTCCAATCAAAAGGGTTTGCGTAAGTAAACGTTTTTTTAGACCCCATCTGTTACACTAATGGTTTTAGTTTCATCATCAGATCTACACATTGCATATGATGCGCAACAAGGCTGCAGTCCATATGTTACTGGTGAATAACTCATTCACATAGTCAATCAACTTCATATTGCTTGCAATTGGTACGCTGTAGCATGGACGTTAATGTAAGTTAGGTTTCAAATAAGGGGTCTATTGAGAAAAACGTTTTTTTGGAGATGGGTCTCAATTGTAAAAAGAAGTCGCACACAACTATTTGTTCGTGTAGTATGACCGTGAAAATATAAATTAGATTGTAATCAGAAATATAATATTCCATGACTGATTACTTGACATGAATGATTGGGTCTTCACATATATAACTATCCAATTTGAAGCTATCAAACAAATACTATGTTAATAGAGATGATAATTATCTATTGTGAATCAAATTAATCTTTATATTAGTACAGATTATTATTAAAATACTATTTATTTTACTTTGTTTTTTGATTGAAAATATATTCTGTTATTCACAAGACATATGCCCATGAATTCTTAAAGATACTATTTAAATTACGAAAAAACTGCGTCAGATGTCTTGATCATGAATAGAATAGTACGATCAGGGATAGAAGAAATATTTTCTAAATACCATTGATAGGATATTTCGAAGCTCTGTTCTGTGTTTCTTCCATATCTTTCTGTACTAATACAATAAATTCATTGATATCTTCGATAAGTTTTTTGTGATTTAAATACATACCATTCATAGTTGGATCATTAGTAACCAATATATCATACATAGATGGTTTTGAATTAGTCAAATTACGACAGAGCTCTTCAGCAACTGTATATCGACTTGTATTCAGTGATTTATCTACTGTATGGGCAGGGTGGGAGGCGCCCACCCGAAAATAAACAGTTGATTGCATAAAAGTAACGGGCGACCCATAAAGAATGGTGGTCTCATTATTTACTCAATATCGTTTTTGCTCTTCATTGATTTGAACTGAACATTTTCCCAAAAGATTTTAGCATTCAATTCTCTACAAACTCATGTGTAAAAGATTTTTTAAAACTACAAAACGGCTAAGTACTAAAACGAAGAAAAAAGGTTAAAAAATCTTCAACTTTCAAGCTCAACATACATTAACATTTGGAGTATGTTTCGACAATTTAT